GGAAGCCATCCCTCACCACCTGGGACTCCACAAAGGCTGAACTGTGTCACTAGTGGGCGAGCTTTTCTTTTTTGGGGGGGTTGAGGGGGACAGTCTACTCTCATTCATTGCCATGGTGTTGGAGTCCCCAGAGCACTTGGAATCTCTTCAGGCCTCCAGCAGCATGATCACCTGTAGCTTGGTAGGGCATGAGGAAGCATCCCATTGGCCAGCTCAGCAAAGCCAAGGCTGGGCCCCTTCCTGGCTTGAGTGGCCACCATCAGCTCTAGGTTTCTGAAGGTGCATTAGTTAGAGCTCTGCCCTGCCCCGCCCCTCCTGCCCCATTGTGTAGAATAGGCAGGCTGAGCAAGCAGAGAAGCAGTTGGGTTCTTTTATATCAAAATAGCAAACACCGAAAAGGAAGTTGAAAGAGCCCCTCTCTTTAGGATCCAAGTCACATGAGAGTTTTCCTTATACTCTGTAACTGCCTGCACCAAGTGAAAAGTAAACTCCAAGCAGCTAGCAGAAGAAAAAAAAACACATGGATTTTTGACACAGGGGAGGTTGGTACCCCTAACCCCTGCCTTGTTCAGGAGCCAACTGTAATGTGTTCACAGTGTGATCAGTGCTAGATTGAGGTTTGAATAAATGCTGTGGGGGTTCAGAGTGGGAAAGGACTAATACCACCTGAGAGACTTGGCAAAGGCGTCATGGAGAAGATGACACTTAAACAGCATTTTTAAGGTTAAGTAGGCATTGACCAAGATGCAAAGGCATTTCAAACACATCAAGCGTGGGCCTAGTAGCATCATGAAATATCACAGTATGTTCGCCTTACAATGAGAAGTTTGAATTGCTGCTATGTGGTTGGGAATAGAAGAGGTAAGGATGGAGCGAGACTGTAAAGGGCCCTTGACAACTTGTGAAGCAGGTTAGGATGTTGTTCTGCAGTAACTAAGAAGCCAACAGTGTCCTCAGAGAAGTGACATGATGAGATAGATGGGGTTTTGTTTTATTATGTTTATTTTTAAGGAGGTGAACACTATTGGCATCATGGGAAAATGATGGGAATAGGAAAAATCTAGAATCAGTTATGAGAATGGTAGAACTGTGAAAGAAAGGCATTGTGACAATCTCAAGCAAAGCACTGGCGGTGGGGGAGAGGAAGGGGAGAATCTGAGAGCAATTTGAAACTAGTGCAGCACTGGTTTACTGGCCACTGGATTGATGGCCAAAGGAGTAGTTGAGGAGAGCTCTCAGGTTCCCATGTCTCCTGTCACAGGGCGGGTGGTGGATATCATGGAGATAGGGACCGCAGAGGAGATGCACCTTTGCAGAAGACAATGAATTCATTTTGGAGATGTTATAGAGCTTTTAAAGACATCAAGGTAGAGATCTCTTGCAGATAGGAGATTTACACGTTTGAAAGCATGGTGCTCTAATGGATGCAGTTACTGAGGCTGAGGGTGGATCATGATTTGGATAAAGGGGGAGAAGTATAGAATCTGTGGCAGAGAGTACGTGGTAGTGCTAGGGAGATGGAGAAAATAGTCATGAAGGCAGTAGGAAGACCAGTAGAGAGTAGTGACCGCTGAACAAGGGAGAGGATAGGTTCCACAACAGATGATGAACAGAGGCAAATGGCTTGAAGAGTTTAAAGAGACGACTGATTGAGTAAATACTTGGAGCCTTGATTTGGCAGTTGGAAGTGCAATTGTAGCCGGTAGTGAAAGTTGGTGAGGTGAAACATATGCCAGGTAACAATTTGCTTTGCCATGAGTAGGACTGAGGGAGAGATTAGTTTGGATGGTGTTGAAGGATGTGAGAAGGACTTGTATTCAGCCAGGGTGTGTGTGTCAGGGGGTTATGTTTAAGAAGCGGAGGGGAGGACTCTGCTTTCTCTGAGATGGGGGGAGGAGAGGAGGTGAGAATGGTGCTTTCATTAAGTAAATCTAGAGGTAAGAATGTTCAGGAAGGCTGTGCCTTGAGAGCTGTCTTTCTGGGTGAATAGGAGATGAAGTCAGGGGATGAGGGTAATCATAGTTGAATTTGATTGAGCACTTTTTGCACTGGGCTCTGTGCTGTGTACTTTAATATGTTACTTCATTTGGATTTTACCCCCTTCCCCCCACCCCCAGATGTAACACCCATTTTAGAGATAAACTTACCTGAAGTCACATAATTAATAAGTATTAGATCAAGGTTTTGGACTCACTTGGTCTGATTTCATCATCCTTAATTTTTAACCAAGGGGTCGAGAAGACAGTATGAGGTAGAAAAAGTAAAATTTGATGCATTTGCCGTGGAGAAAGTAGACAGTGGTTTTCAGAAATCCATGATGAAGAGAAGAGAGGAATTGCTATCTTGCAGAATTTCAAATTTATTCTCTCTCCCATCCCTCCACAGAAAATAGGTGTGACTGATAAACATAGAAGAGGTTAGAATTAATACTCTTTCTGTGTAACTTTGAGGCATAACCTGTCGTCATTTTTATTTATCTTTTTGGTGGCTGGTTGGTAACAGTGATCAAACCCCGGATGATGGTGTTATCAACACCATGCTCTAACCAACTGAGCTAACCAGCCAGCCTGCTGTTATTATTATATTATAAATCTTGGCAGACTTCACAGACTTTCACTGAGCACTGTAACACATCTGACCAAGTAAGACTGGAATTTGGCTGACCACCAGAAAGATAGCATTGGTTTAGTATACCGTATACCCTGGAGCCAGAATTCCAAAGAGAGGAGAGAAGTAGTGTTACAGACCAGCAGCAAAAAGTACAATCTAAAATCTGTTATTGGCAAGTTTCTTTTTAAACTTTCATATTTTTATTTGTAGAATTACATATGTAAGGGTGCCTATTTTAAACATTTAACATTTGCTTGTATATATTTGTGGGGTACAGTGTTGTTTCGTTACATGTATATGCAATACAGTGGTTAACTTAGGGTAGACAGCATAATTTTGTACCCATTAGTTCGCCACCTCTCCTCCCCTCCCATCCTCTGGTAACCATTATTCTATTCTTCTTGTATGAGAACTTCTTTTTTTTTTAAGATGTGGTATTTGTCTCTTTGTGCCTATTTTAGTCCACTTAACGTGGTTGTTTCCCATTCTATCCATGTCGTTGCAAATAATAGGGTGTCTTTTTTTTTTAATAGCTGAACTATATTCCATTGTGTATATATACCACCATTTTTTTATCCATTCATCCAGTGATGGGCATTTAGGTGGATTCCATCTCCTGGTTATTGTGAACAGTACTGCAGTGAACATGGGAGTGCAGGTGTCTTTTTGATATATTCATTTCATTCTCTTTGGGTATATACCCAGTAGTGGGGTAGCTGAGTGATAAGGTAGATCTATTTTTAGTTCTCTGAGGAACCTCCATACTGTTTTCTGCAATGGCTGTACCAGTGTACATTTCCACCAACAATGTAGAAGAGTTCCCTTTTCTCCACATCCTCACCAGGATGTGGTAATAGCCATTCTAACTGGGATGAAATGATATCTCATTATGGTTTTAATTTGCATTTCCCTGATGATAAATGATTTTGAGCATTTTTTCATGTTCCTGTTGGCTATTTGTATGTCTTCTTTTGAGAAATGTCTGTTTGGGTCCTTTGCCCATTTTTTTTTTCTTTTTGTCGTTTTTCGTGACTGGTAAGGGGATCGCAACCCTTGGCGTGGTGTCACCCGCACCGCGCTCAGCCAGTGAGCGCACCAGCCATTCCTATATAGGATCCGAACCCGTGGTGGGAGCGTCACTGCGCTCCCAGCACGGCACTCTCCCGAGTGAGCCACGGGGTCAGCCCCCTTTGCCCATTTTTAATTGGGTTATTTGGTTTTTTGCTGTTGAGTTCCTTATATATTCTGGATATTGGTCCCTTGTCTGATGTATAATTTGCAAACACTTTCTCCTGTCCTGTAGGTTGTCTCTTCACTTTGTTAATAGTGTCCCTTGCTGTGCAGAAACTTTTTAGTTTGTTGTAGTCCATTTGTGTATTTTTGCGTTAACTGCCTGTGTCTTTGTAGTCTTGCTCAAAAAAGTGCTGCTCACTTGTGAAGCATTTCTGCTGTTTTCTTCTAGTAGTTTGTGAAGCGTTACTGCTGTTTTCTTCTAGTAGTTTCAAAATTTCATGTCTTAAATTTAGGTTTTTTATCCATTTTGAGTTGATTTTTTTGTTATTGGCAAATTTGACTGTGAGATTTCTGTGTGGTTCATGGCTCTGATCATCAGTCTTATGTTAAAAACTATTATCATTGATATTATTTATTTACATATATTGACTAAGCAAACCTAAAATGTAAATGAACTTTTACCTTAGAAAACAAAATGTAGACATTTGTTTCATCAGCTTGGAAGAGCCTACAGGGAAACAAACAATCTTCTGTTTTGACATCTAGTTTTCTGTGCTTCTACTCTTTATTCTGTTTTTTTGTTTGTTTGTTTTTGTTTTGTTTTTGCTTCACTCATTCAACACATTTGTTGAGCACCTACTTTGGGCACTATTCTAAGTTCTGAGGAAACAGTGATGAACAAGACAAAGCTTATATTTGAGTGAGATAGACTGTAAAAAAAGTAAGTATATGAGTATGTCAAGTCGAGAAGTGCTGTGAAGTAAGAAGAAAACAGGATAAGGAACTAGAATGTGAAGAGTGGCATATATTTTGTATATAGTTAGGTTAGAGAAGCAGACTTGATTGAGGAAAAAGCGAGTCAGTCACCCAAGAAAGAGTAACACAGGCAGAGAGAACAGCAAGGACAATTGTCCTAGGGTGGGGTCATGGTGGACATGGTCCAGGAATAGGAGGAAGGCCAGTGTGACTGGAAGAGGGTGAGTTCATGGAAGGAGCCCGGGCTATACTATGGGAGACCTGATAGTCTTGTGCTAAAGACTTCGGATAGTCACATAATTAATCTAGATGTGATGTAGTGATTAAAGTGACAGTATCTAAATCAGTAGATTTGGCAATTTTTATAACATTTATAGAATTATATTATTTTTACTTTATAGGATGGAACAAAATTTATTTGTATCGGGGCCCTATATTCTGAGCTTTTGGCTGTTAGCAGTAAAGGAGAACTTTATCAGTGGAAATGGAGTGAATCTGAACCTTACAGAAATGCCCAGGTATTTTATTGTATTGAGCCTTGCATTGAGTAGCTCTATGTGTCAACATACAAAATAGTAATCACTTTTCTTATGCTTCCAAAGAATCCTTCATTACATCATCCACGAGCAACATTTTTGGGGTTAACCAGTGAAAAAATAGTTCTTCTGTCTGCCAATAGCATAAGAGCAACTGTAGCTACAGAAAATAACAAGGTATGAAACACTTTGCATTGATAAACATTTCATGCTTAAAACCTTGGTTTTCTTTCTCTTCTTGCCCTTTTTTTCCCCCATCTTTTCATTTTCTATCTTTCTAACTAGATCCATAAATACAAAGTGTCTCAAGCCCTAGTAGAGTAATCCAATGCATAATTATTTTGTTGGCTAGTATATCTGTACTATAATCCAACTTTCAAAGTAGCTTTCTACTTTTAGGGAAGGAAAACATATTCAAGAAAATTGCTGAGAAAGGAGGAGACGTTGGGAAGCTATAAAATGTAGATTGAGAAAGTATGGATATCATAACTCAAGTGATCAGCTTGGCTTTAAAATCTCTAAATTCTTTTAAAAATTGTTGTAGCAAATGTTTATGTCTGACTAATGCCTTAAAAATAGCCTTAGATACTTATTTAATAACTGTTATTTTGATTTATTTGTGTGAAGAAAGTTTCTAGTCTTCCTAAAAACCTTTTCTGAATTACTTATTTTTATAGCATTTAGCTCAAAAAATTTTAGAATTTCAATCCATAGAGAATGTATATCTTGCTCTAGTTATGACCACAGTCCTTTTGAAAGGATTACTTATTCTTATTTAAACCTCTAATATTTTATTCTTTAGGTTGCTACATGGGTGGATGAGACTTTAAGTTCTGTGGCTTCTAAATTAGAACATACCGCACAAACTTATTCTGAACTTCAAGGAGAGCGGATAGTTTCTTTACATTGCTGTGCCCTTTACACCTGTGCCCAGCTGGAGAACAACTTATATTGGTGGTGAGTGTTATAGGGAGAAAGAACTTCTTATTGGTGAATACTTTTATGTGCATAGAGAGGTGCTTTGAGTAGCACAATATCAACATGAGAAGGTTAATCAAAAGATGCTTTATAGAGAGGGAAATTTCACTTTTGAGCAAAGTAAAATTTAAAAAAACTTTAAAAAGATAGATTTATAGAAGTAATGCATATTTAGAAATTATGTAATTATTAAATTTTGTAAAAATATAAAGTGGAAACAAAAGTCATCCAGAATCCCACAATCAAAGATAACTACTGTTTTTTTTTTTTTTTTTTCCTTTTTGTCTTTTTTCGTGCCCGGCAACGGATCGCAACCCTCAGTGTTGCCCCCGTACCAGACCGGGGACCGGCCACGGGATCGCAACCCTCGGTGTTGCTCCCGCCCCTCGCTCAGCCAGTGAGCGGCCGGTCTGTATGTGGGATCCGAACCCTCGGCGGGAGCGCCACCGCGCTTCCCAAGCGGCGCACTATAGCAGTGTGCCACCGGGCTGGCCCAAAGATAACTACTGTTAATATTTGGGGGTATTAAAAAATTTTTTTTTCTATACATAAACAATTACTTTGCTTTTACATAGTTGGAATATAGGTTATAGGGCACATTTTCATTTTATTACATGAATATTCTCTGCTATATTTAATTATGGCTTTACTGTTAGAAGGTGACTTTAAATTTATTCTCTGTTGTGTTTTAAGGAGTTACCAGTAAATTTGAATTGGCAGACATAATATATAGGGGAGTCTCCTAATGAAATATAATTATTTGGAAGAAAAAAATATCAATTGATGCATTTCTTATAAAATTTAATCCTAAAGCTTTAATAAATATGGATCTGATTACTCATTAAATCTATGAACAAGTTGTTTAAGAGCACGTTTCACATGTTGTTATTCTGGAGCAAAAACGTTTAAAAAGGAATGCACCAGAAATGTTTAAATGACAGTATGTATAGATTTATTTAGTGGGCTTCTTTGCTGCTTATTTGACCGATTTATGTTTTTCCTTTTCAGGGGTGTAGTCCCTTTTAGTCAAAGAAAGAAAATGTTAGAGAAAGCTAGAGCAAAAAATAAAAAGCCTAAATCCAGTGCTGGTATTTCCTCAATGCCAAACATCACTGTTGGTACCCAGGTAAGTGATTAGAATTAAGCCTGACGTAGGGGACATCGTTTCTATTCAAAATCACTTTCTTCCCCTGTAAGCAGTTCTCTTATAAGCATTTTTATAGATGTTCATCATTTGAAGGACCAGCATATATTTATAACATCATTCTTTCTTCTTTCAGAAGTTGAGTAACATTGTATAGATTCTGGCCCAAAAGTCAGTAGGTTTTCTTATGGGGCAGGGTTCCCTCCCATATTTGCCTGGTTTTAAGAATCAGTTGGTACTTTTAAAAGCACAGTCTGGAGCCCCTTACCTGAAACATTGTTTTGGTTTGTCTGGTGGTAGGGCCAGGCACCATTGTGTTAACAATCATCTGAGGTGATTCTTATGACTAAGCAGTTTGAAAGATTGTGCTCTGTGGGGATATTGTCAGCACCAGGCAGGAGGCTCCATCAAATTCCTGTGTTTTCACCAGTTTCTTCTATAGGTATCCTATGGAAGGTGGTTTTCTAGCAGCCCAGTGGTTCTGAAAGTATAGTCCAAAGACTCCTGCTAGGGAGCCTGCAAAATCCTTCCTTTTCCAATTACATATCTTTGTGAGACTGAATGGTCTTCATAGACTTGAGTCAGAATAACATGTCGCAACAGACTGAATGCAAAAGCACATGAGAATCCAGCTGGCTTCTATTAAATCTGATATGAAGAGATTTGCAAAAATGTAAACAGTGTTACTTTTCTCAGTAATGTTTTTTTGAAAAAACTGTTTATATCAACATGGGGTTTTATTACTGTTAAATATTTAAAATTTTCTGTTTTGATTTCTAATACATTTAATTTACTAAGTTTTATTTTACTAATTATTAAAACTAGGTAGGACCCACATAAAAAAGTACTCAGTAATGTTTAACAGTGAAAAAGGATGCTGAGACCAAAAGTTTGAGAAAGGTTGTTAAACTTCTGATTTATTAGACTCTGGTTCCTTAAAACTTTAGACAAATGGTTTTTTTGTTCTTTGTTTTTTGTTTTTGTTTTTTAACATAATGTGGTGCTAATTTCGTCTGGCACTTTCAATTCAGATTTTTTCCTCATCACCATGAGGTAGTATTACCTGTGTCTTAAAAAGTAGTCACTACTTGAGCTGTTAACTTTTTTCCAAAACCCAGCTTAAATGTATCTTTTTGTTTGTGGCTCAATTTTTTGTCCTACTCATGGTTGTCTTGTTCTAACTGTTTTTGTTGGCCTTCCAACTAGAAAGTTTTGGGTGATTACCTACTATTCTGAACATTATTGTTCAGCTTTCATTATTTATGTCAGTTGCTTGGGACGGCTGCCTCCCCCCCAGGAGCTCCTCTTTTCATTTTTAGTTTAAATATGGATTTCTGATGTTCTCAAATTTCCTTGTCATTTGGACTCATATAATAGTAGGGTATCATAGCAGCTGCCTTGTTAGCAGGTGGGATGGCATCACTGTGGACAGGGAGGGCAGAAAAAAAACACTTTAAAGATACACTGAAGAAAAGCTTGGCACTATTTGCTGAAAGATAGCATATTAAAATATCTTGGTACAGAACTAAGACTTTGTTTTAAAGCTGTAGAAAACCAGAGGTTTGAGGCAGTCAAGGACAAGGAAAGTAGGTATTCATGTGTTAACATCAGAAAGAGCTGTTGGTCACTTAGAGTAGTCAGGCACACCTGCATTCACATATCATAATTGTTCAGAGTAATGTATTTAGCAAATATTCATTATATGTCTTATGTGCCAGACACTGGATATACACCTCCTTGTCTTTAAGGTACAGTTATTTTTATAAGAAGGCATTAATAAATAACTTCTATTATATCATACCACATTTCTCTTTCAATTCAAGCCTTCTTATTGGTCCTCTTTCAGGCTTTAAGCTTTCACTAGTCTTCTGAAAATTCTGAAAATTTCTGAATGAAATGTCCCTTCGAGTCACATCTAAGCAGGACATACCTTTTCCAAGAAGCCTGCTTTCGTGAACTATTCTCTCTGCCACAGAACTACACTTAATTATATAGAACTATTTTTTGGTAGAACTACAACTCTAAGCCAATGTTCCAGTTCCTGTACTTCTCAAATGTACCGCTTTCTTCTGTGTCTCTTATATTTAATGTATTCACTGGTTGAGTATAACGTAATCATTAGTTATTAGATGACTGAACAGAATGTCAGTAAGATTGGGCTATTGGAGAGATCAAAAGAGATCTCCAGAAATAATGTTCATACCTCAGATGAAGCTATTGTTGGTATGTTTGACAGTGCCATCTTGCAGGCCATAGGTTTTCAGAGTATGAAATAAGGGTAGTCCCTGACAGGAAGAATTTATAGGTTATTGATTCCTGAACTCAGTCAAACTTTATAACACTAATATCTATGTATTCTTTTTTAATTTAAAAGAAAAATTACATTATCCACTGAAGATTCTGGCTGATAGAAAACAACAGTCTTTTGGGGGAAACAAACATTCATAGAAATGAAGTTCTAGAGCTTGTATAGCATCAGAATTAAGGAAAAAAATAAACTATAGGAAACAAAGTATAATTGTTTTGTTCACTTTTATTTATTTATTTATTTATTTGCTAACTTTTTAGTTTCTTCTCTGCTGTTTCTGATTTGTTTCTTTGTAGTGGAATGGTTGGGATATTTGCTGCATGAATTTTTAAAGTTAATGCTAAATTTTTAGCAAACATAATGAAATTACTCCTGCTCTTTAATTTTAGGAGCAAATTTACTTGATGGAGACCTTGTTTTCAGCCTTAATGATTGTGTAAGATTGTATTTGGAAAACCTAGGAAGCAATACTTTTATGTATTGTATTTTCATACATTTGAAATAACTATTCTAGTTTGTTTTATGTCATCTCAATGGCGGTTTTCTTTTGTTTGCTTAGGTATGCTTAAGAAATAATCCTCTGTATCATGCTGGAGCAGTTGCATTTTCAATTAGTGCTGGAATTCCTAAAGTTGGTGTCTTAATGGAGTCAGTTTGGAATATGAACGATAGCTGTAGATTTCAACTTAGATCTCCTGAGAGCTTGAAAAGCATGGAAAAAGCTAGCAAAACTACTGAAGCTAAGTAAGTACTATACCCTAACTAATCTTGTTTTTACACCAGTTCCTTGTTTGTTCAGTATATGAATGGGGGTAATCAAGGGAGACTTAGAGGTTTAAAGTGACATAGAAAATTGCTGACGGGATGGGGTCTTGTTATGGTCCCCAGGAGTTTTGAAAGGAATTGCTAAATTTTACTGCTTCCAACTTGGCTAATTAATATTTACATATTACAGTTGTTCTTGATGAGTTGGTGGCCAGAATGGCAGTATAGTGTTCTCTTTTGATTTCCTTATTTCATTATTAGGTTGTGTCTTTTGCAGGTATGTATAGTAGTAAAAATATGTTCAGCCTTACTGTTAGACTGACATTCTCCTCCTCTCTCCCTGTGTAATCATCTTAATTTCTATCTAATGTCTTGCCTCTGCATCTTGATCATTAGAAGGGTTTTACAAGTCAGTGTTCTGGGGAGGGAAATTCTGTAAAGGATTGTAAACTCTTTTGAGGTTGGAGAGATATAAACAGAAATACCACTAAATTTTGTATATACGCACATCGTGGGGCTGGTTTTTGTTTGGGAGCCAGGAACAGAGATCTTGACATCTGTGCCTTTAGAAACATCTACTCATCTTTAACAATATGCATACTTTAATTTGGTTGTTTGGTACATGAACTTAAGAATTTTAATAAATTTTTAAACTTTTTTTTCCTTAATCTTTTAAAAATAAGTGACAATTATAGAAACATGGAATAGTAGTAATATCACATTCTGGGAGAATAACATTTTGAACACTTCGATGTGTTTTTTTTCCTACATGTATGCAGGCATTGAAAAGTGATTGGGGGCCGGCCCGGTGGCGCACTCGGTAGAGTGTGGCACTTGGGAGTGTAGAGGCGCTCCCGCCGAGGGTTCAGATCCCATATAGAGACTGGTCCACACACTGGTTGAGCGCGGTGCGGGCGCGACACCGAGGGTTGCGATCCCGTTGCCGGTCGTGGTACGGGCGTGACACCGAGGGTTGTGATCCCGTTACCGGTCACGAAAAAAGACAAAAAGGAAAAAAAAAAAAAAAGAAAAAAAAAAAAAAAAAGAAAAGTGATTGGGATTGTTCTGTACATAATGCGTTTTTAAAGTTATGAAATTTTTTAGTTTGCTCTCATTTATGCGCAAATATAATGATTATAAACTTACTAGCTCTATTGCTGCTATTCTTCTTAAAGTTAAACATGCAAACTGAAATTCAGAAATACAGGGCTGGTAAGTAAGTTAAAAATATAATCTTTAACAAAGCAAAGCTATTGTACTTTAATGCGTAATTAAGGTTTTTTGCTTTGTTGTTGTGCTGTCTTTCTCTGTCATTTTTTTTTTTTAAAGAGATGTATGGCTCTTCTCCTAATTAGATTGATTTTCGTCCTCAAGATAAAAGTAGTAAACACATTTTCATTATTTTATGAACTTTGTAAAGAACGTTTGAAATATATTTGATGTGCACAATTAGATTAAAATATGCTATTCGAATCCTGTAACTTAAGAAGTTTTTCAAGATCTTCCTTGAAATTAGCCTTTTTTATTAGTAAACTTTGCAGAAGAGTCAAGTAAAATTAAATGCTAAGAGTACATTTTCATGTCAATAGCACTCTTCTTTGCTAGTTATTGTCACTTTAAAGGTGTGCTATTGATTAGTCAGTATTGACTTCTTTTTACCATCACTGGATTTGCACAGAACCCAGGAATGTTCACTGTGTGCTTGTACTGAGCACCCTTGCTAAGATGCTGGTGAAAATGCTACTGGCTTTGTCTTGGATTATTTCTGAACTCAGGTGAAATTCCTGGTGAGGGCAGTAGGAGACAAAGGGTTAAGATATTGATGCAGATTATAATATATGTATATATATATCAGAATGAAATAAATAACAAATTTGTGAGTAATAAGTGACCTTTCCTGGTAAAACTGATTTCTGCCCTCTAATGAACAAAAATATTTGTGTTTTTACCATCTGTAGAACATTGTATAGTTGCCCTAGTTATCTTAGTAGACCATTAATGTAATAACTCATGGAAGAGGGATAGTTTATTAATCCTATCATCAGATAGTTTAAAAATAAATTTTTATAAACCATTGTGAGTAGTTTTTTTTTGAACTCTAAGAAAAAATGATCTAGTGGGCTTTTTACTCATCTGCCTTTACCATTTTTTCAGTTAAATTGGCACGATCACGCCAGTGTTTAATGAAGTCTGAAACTTCTTTGCTCAAGAGGCTTATGATAAAGCCATGTTGATATATTGAGTGTAACTATTGTTATTCCCAGTAAAGCTTATCTGAATCATTGTCCCAAGTTGTTGATAGCTTTTTATGGTATATTTTTCTTTACTATGTTAAAACATTTGAAAATATGCACTATGTACCTTTTTCAGTACCTTGAGTCCTTTGAGTCTTATGTTTTTAATATTTCGTTTCCTTATAATAATAACCTTGTCTTAAAAATACACTATTTGACAAGCTTCCATTATTTCATTTTCCTAATTATGGAGAATCTTATTGCTTATCTCAGGCCTGAAAGTAAGCAGGAACCAGTAAAAACAGAAATGGGTCCTCCACCCTCTCCAGCGTCCACGTGCAGTGATGCCTCCTCAATTGCCAGCAGTGCATCGATGCCATATAGTAAGTTTATGTGCAGGACACATTGGTCAAAATAAGGTCCCAAGCAGATAGCTGTGTTCAGTTTGTCTCTGATGTGAGGCAACTTATACTAGTTTTTACATCATTTTGTATAAATTGTGCTTCTACTAGTTTGATTTTTTTGTATGCAGTTTTATTTAAATGGGAAGATAATATTTACACTGTTGGCTTTTTGAGAATTACAGTTTTTGAAAATATATGTAAAATTCATTGCAGTAATAGAAGGAAATAACTGCCACTAGCTAGAATATCTGCCCACTTTTGTTGAAACTCTCATTATTATAAATTGGTTATGGCTTGGTCACAACTTTTGCTCAGAATTTATAGAATTTTTAAACCTGGACTTACTACTGCACCATGGATTAAAAGAATTTTTTTAAAGCTCCTCAAAATAAATTTATTTTACAGTGTAGTTGCTTTGCAACCAAGGAAATTAAAAGTTACAGTTTGATAGTTATGTAACAGTTTTAGAACAGCCCTGCACATCTCCCTTTTTAAACCTTGGTCAGATAACCCTAATTTTGAGAGTCTAAAATACTTTTTTTTCCTTCATCTTCTTTGTAGTTGTGTTAATATAGTTAAGCATTAATGGTTATAGTAGTTCTTCACTATGAATTTTTTGAAGTAGAAGTTGGTCATAAAACCCCAATTCATAAAGCAGTAGTTCATGAAATTTAAATTTAGAAACCTCAACTGTATATCTCATTAAAAATGATCATTCTTCATATATTTATATGAAATCTATAAAGTCTCTTCTACATTTTCTTTTTGGTACTTACTATTTTGTTGTTGTCTAAGAACGACGACGGTCAACCCCTGCCCCAAAAGAAGAGGAAAAGGTGAACGAAGAGCAGTGGTCTCTTCGGGAAGTTGTTTTTGTGGAAGATGTTAAGAATGTTCCTGTTGGCAAGGTTTGTTCAAAATAGCTATGTATTAATTACATAGAAATATAATGATACTGGTTGTTGAAGGATTTATGGTTAGCGAGTGTCTGTGAGCCCTTTCTTCAAGGCTGCTTTATTTATCACCTTCAGTGGTTTTTTTTTCAGTCTCTTCCCTGAATCTGATGCAGAAATGTCTCTTTTGTCTCTGACAGATGAGGACATAATTCCTCTCCTTGACCATTTATGGTGATATGTTGCTTTTAAAAAAAAAAAATAAACAAGTAATTTTGGAATAATTTTAAATTTACAGAAGAGTTGCACAGAGATTACATTAGTTTTTGATACAGTCCGTTCTTTGGAACTATTGTTCTAATGGAGACTATCTTCTATAACATTTAGAATTCTTGTATAACACTGAAAAATCTTGCTTTAGTCTCTTTAAGCCACCTTTTGCTTTTTCCTCTCTTCTTCCTGAAGAGGTGTTTGCCTTCTTAGAAACCAAGTAAGTAGAGGCCATTAACTAGAATGCCATTAATTTCACCTTTCTCCCCATACATACTTAAAATGTATCTACAGCTGTAGAGTATCTGTAAAGGTTTTTCTGAATGCTCCTTGATTTTTAAAATGTGTAGGTCTTTCATTTGTACTTAAAGGAAGGAGTAGATACACTGTGCTCTGTAGTTTACAGAGGCCTTTCTCATACACTGTTCCATTTGATTCTCAAAATGGAACTGTAGTTTATGGGCAGAAGATATTTTCTTCTGAGAAGATCACACTGGCTCAAAATCAAGAGCCTTAAGTAGTAGAGGTGAGACTCAAATGACCTGGTTTCAAGTCCTGTGCTTGTCTTTCTGTGCATTGCTGACACTATCCCTGTATTGACCAATATGGTAGCCACTAGCTATATATGTGGCTATTTAAATTTACTAGAATTAAATGACATTAAAAAGTCAGTTCCTCTTTTACATTAGCTACATTTCGAGTGCTCAGTAGTCACTTATGACTAATGGCTACCATATTGCACAGTGCCAATATAGAACATTACTTTCATCAAGAAAGTTCTATCAGACATCACTGCTTTAAAGTAATAAAGAGGAAAGATGGAATGATTTCATGGGTTATACTTAATTTTTTCAGTTGCTTGCTAAATATTCACAGACTGTAATCACTGGCTGTGTGGGTTAGTTTTTGTCTAGAAAATGAGCCTTGACTATAGACACAAACAGCAAAGCTTTGTTGAGTCTGTCCAGGTTAATTTTATAACTTGGTGATCATTAATGAAACATAAGAGATTAAATACGTTCAGTGTTGAATTAGTTCAGTGAATAGAAGTAGGGTATTGATTTCATATAAGGTATTGTTAATATTCAGTGTATTTGCCTTTACTTCTAGGTGCTTAAAGTGGATGGTGCCTACGTTGCTGTAAAATTTCCGGGAACATCTACTAATACAAGCTGTCAGAGTAGCTCTGGTCCAGATGCTGACCCCTCTTCTCTCCTGCAGGATTGTAGGTTACTTAGAATTGATGAACTGCAGGTAAGTGTACAGTAGTCATTCAGTAGGCGAATATTAGGACTGACTCTTTGAGTAGTATGTTATAGAGTATGAGAGCAAAATTCCTTTTGTGTCATGCAGGTTGTCAAAACTGGTGGAACACCAAAAGTTCCTGACTGTTTCCAAAGGACTCCTAAAAAGCTTTGTATACCTGAAAAAACAGAAATATTAGCAGTGAATGTAGATTCCAAAGGTAAAGATTATCTGACTTTATCAGCTGGCACACTCTATATACCATTACAGGTTGCAAATGGGAATAGGATAAAGTGGTTTGGGGCACAGGCAGTTTTGTCCCATGTGTAACATTATGGAATGAAATGTATCTGTTTGAATTGATTTACAAGTGTGACCAGAGATGTCAAAATTTGGTAGATACTTATTAGAGATTACTAAAGATGTATAACAATTTTTCTTTTTATTTATGTGCTTCTGAAGGTGTACATGCTGTTTTGAAGACTGGAAATTGGGTACGGTACTGTATCTTTGATCTTGCTACAGGAAAAGCAGAACAGGAAAATAATTTTCCTACAAGCAGCATTGCTTTCCTTGGTCAGAATGAGAGGAATGTAGCCATTTTCACTGCTGGACAGGTAGAGGCTCATTTTTACTTTTGAAAAGTGATATGATGGCACTGACATTTTTAATGAAGCTTAGGGCCTGGTTCTAGTTTGCTTAAAATTTAGAATATTCAGCACATTTTAATAATAGCTTCCTTATTTGGTTATTATTACTAACATCTGATTTGAAAATATATCTATTGTAAATACAATTACATTTGTAATTGGTAACAGTTTTGATTGGGAGTCAAAGTTCATCATTTTTCCTCTATTACAGGAGTCTCCTATTATTCTTCGGGATGGAAATGGTACTATCTACCCAATGGCCAAAGACTGCATGGGAGGAATAAGGGATCCTGATTGGCTTGATCTTCCACCTATTAGTAGTCTTGGAATGGGTGTGCATTCTTTAATAAATCTTCCTGCCAATTCAACAATCAAAAAGAAAGCTGCTATTATCATCATGGCTGTAGAGGTAATTTGACTTTTGAAACTACTTGGCATTTTAATTCAGGAGACATTGCTAAAGTCTAGGGAAACGATCTTGAATAGATCATTTATTGCCCCTTCCTTCTCTACAGGAGCTAAGAGCCTATTAGGACAACAGAGACAAGTAAATTAGTGATTATGGTATATTTAAGTGTTTGAGAAAGGCATGCACAACGTTGTGGGAGCACAAAGGGGAGTGATATAAATGAGACTGTATAGAAGGCTTACCTAAGGAAGTGATACCTGGACAGAGCTTTGAATGATCACATAGAGGTGAAGGTGGGAGGTTAAGGTGCTCTTGATCCCAGGCATCAAGAGCAGCTTTTGTGAATCTCATTAATATGTTAGGAGAATGTGTACATTCTTTTGATATAATTAGAAGATGGAGATCATATGGGTCAGTGAACAGCAACTGATAAGACTGGAGAGAGACACTCTGGTGCCTTGTGTGCTAACTGTAAGAGAATTTTCCTGAACGCTAGGAGGATAAGGGTTTTAAGCTGGTGAATGACATCAAGTTTTCAAAAAAGATTAACAGTGGAGGGTGGGGCTTAGGGGAGCAGAGGATGGATAGCATTAGTTTAGAGATCAGATAAAAGGCAAATACAATAATCCAGGTTGAAAACAAAGTAAGCTTGAACTCTTGGAAATGAGGGAGAGGGGATGGATTTGAGAGATCTTAAAGTAGAAGCTGTAAAGCTTGGTGACTGGATGTCAGTAGTCAATGAAAGGAAGGAGTTACAACACTTCTGATTTGGGTGTTGTTGGTGGTAGAGAGGAAATATAGGAGAAGGAATAAATGGGATAAGGAAAAAGGATGAGTTTAGTTTTCAACATGTTGTGGTTGAGTATTTGTTAGATTTGGAGTCAATGCCCATTGAAAGGTATTGGAGCAATTTTAACCAAGAGTGACCCAATTTAACTTACATTTTAAAAAAGGTCATTATTGATATGCTGTGAGAGCATTACAGGCTCATGGTGGAAGTAGGGAGACCAGTTAGGAGAATATTAAAATAATCCAGGTGGGAGATGATGGTGACTTGGCCCAGGAGGTAGAGTTATAAGTGAAAATTGATGAGATTCAAGATACACTACATAAGTTTTTAAGGTAGTTCCAACAGGATTTGCTGATGACTAAATTTAGGATGTCAAATAGAGGAAGCAAGAAGATGAAAGGTTTTAGAAGAATGAAGTTGTCATTTATGGAGGTGAACATTTACAGAGTCTTGGCAGAAGGTGAGGTGGAGGTATCAGGAGTTTGTTGTTAGAAATGTGGAGTTTGGGATCTTTATCTGATACCCAAGAGGAGATGGTGAGTAGAAAGTTAGATATATTAGTTTGAAGACCAGGAGAGAGAGGATCAAGCTGGGGAAATATACTTGGGAATTGTTATTTAAATGAATTATACTGAATGAGATCACCACGGTTGTGGAGAAGACAAAAAGTCCAAGGACTGAGCCGTATGAATAGTCCCAGCATGTAAGTGCCAGATGATAAAGAGAACCAGTGTAGGAGATGAAGAAGGAGAATACACAAGGGTTGGACGAAAACTAGAATGAGAGATATTCTGGAGGAAAACTAGAATGAGCAATATCCTGGAAGCCAAATGAAGAGCATGTGTCAAGCAGGATGCAGTGATCAACTGTGTCAGATGATGCTGTTGGTCAGTTACAGTGAGTGCTAAATATTAAATGTTGGATTTGGCTGCATCTGGGTCATTGTTGACAGTGGGGATAAAAGCCTGATTAGAGTGAGCTTAGGAGAAAATGGGAGGTGAGGAACTGGAGATAAATGTAAACAACTCTTTTGAGGAATTTTTAAATAAAGGATTGAAATGGAGTTTAATATGGGAGTTTATTTATCCTCCATCATGTGATGAGCAAACTTGGTAGAAGTGCATCTAGAATGGATTGAATCCAGGTACTCCTGAGAGCTAACTGTAAACTTTTGTTTAGAAACACAGACTCATATTTGTAGTTGAGCTTTGATTGTAACCTGTTAGAGTAGTGATTCTAAACTGTAGGGAGTGAGAATAAGGAGGTGACTGTGGCCTGACCTTGACCCCTAGAATAACCTTCACATCATTTTAAAATTCTTGATTGGTTGCCCACATTTAGAATCACAGGATTTATTTTTAATTTTATATGAAAATCCAGAATTTCAGTTGCTCTTAAAAAAAGTTAAGTCTGGTAAAATTAGGCATCCTAATCAAAACCATGAAAACAGTAGACTGCCCCTTTTAGAGTCTATAATGGTCTCTCTAATTCATTGCAGTCCCCACTACTTACGACTTGTTGCCCTGAGTCCAAGCATTAATTGCCATTTATTATCCAGCCTGTGTTATCTTTTATATACACAGCTTCCTTCACTCATTTATATGACTTCAAATGTAGGTATTTGATTCTGCGACTCCTGCCCTTTGTCAGCATCTCTAGGGTAGAGATAAAATGTGTCATCATTTATCTTTGTACCTCAGTGACTAGGGCTTGTTGCATGGTAGACCCACAAAAAACTTTTTACTAAACTCTCTCTGCCCTTTGCTGTGAGAAGAAGTGATAAGTACAACATAGTGATGCAGCATGCACTATTTTTTCTTACAGTACAGCTAAGCGTGGTATTGATAACTCAGTGTGAGAGCGCATGTACAGTCCAGCAGGTGGGAGATGAGAGCTTCCTGTAGAGTAGCTGCTTCTAACCAAATGTCTGGCCAATTGCTTGAAAATCTATCACAGCAGCATGCAGCAAAATATCTTATTTTAGTTGCCTTTGAAAGTACCGTGCTTTTTGTTCTTTGGACAGACTTTGACATATTCTCTTAACATGTTGATCAGTGTATAGACTTCCCCAGACTTGTACTGAAAATAGTTTTTTAGATGTATTTTCTTGTGTGAGTTCCCCCCTTTTTTTAACCTCTCCTGCCCATAAGGTTGGGGGAGGGGATATTTTATTTAGGAGATTTTCCAGGAGGTGGCAAGTTGTTCAAATGCATTTTTCTTCTTCCCTTTGTATTCCCACATTCTCTTTTCCCACCAGCTTTTTTCTAGTTCCTAGTTCTAGTTAAAATTAACACATGTATTTGTTTTATAAAACTAATGCTTTAAATAAAATTAGTCCATTAAATATGCCATTGTTTTCAGTTCTGAAAAAATTACATTTGAACTCCTTTGTATATTCGTGCTGTTTGTCAGGTTGTTACTGATATGGTCTATAAATACTTCATCAGTATTACTATGTCTTTAGCAATTGAGTACATTAGTTGTCACCTTTGGGAATTATTGGGAATTATACCCGTCATGATTCCTGGGGAGTTGAACGGTTTTGGTTTTCATGAACCATAGTGTAATAAATCCTTTAAGAGCATAAGAGGGTGAGAGTAAGCCTGGAATAAATTCACTTAATTGATTAACAATATTAATAGGGTTCTAATTTGACAGTCATATAATACATAATGTAAACCAGGGATCTGCAAACTATAGATCACAGGCCAGATCTAGCCACTCCCATTCATTTTGCATGGTGTATGGCTGCTTTCCTGCTACAACCGTAGATTGGAATTAGTTGCAAAAGCTGAAAATATTTACTAGTCTTCTTTACAGAAAGGTTATCCTCCCTTTTCTATTCCCGTCAATTGTATTCTCTGCCCTTAAGTTCAAATCCTTTCTCCAGGCCACCTGAAATTGTTTCTTATTTGCAGAGCTGATTATATTATTGTGTTCACCATGAGAAATTTTTGACATATGTAATGTGCTATTCAAATTCATTGAAGTTTTCCCCCTAATTTATCTGAGCACAGAAACAAACCTTAATGCAACACATTCTACGCTGTGACTATGAGGCCTGTCGACAATATCTTATGAATCTTGAGCAAGCGGTTGTTTTAGAGCAGAATCTACAGATGCTTCAGACGTTCATCAGTCACAGATGTGATGGAAATCGAAATATTTTGCATGCTTGTGTATCAGTTTGCTTCCCAACCAGCAATAAAGAAACTAAAGAAGAAGAGGGTGAGATTAAGAACTATAACAAAATCTTTAAAGAAATTTTAGACAATTTTGAAAATTAATTGTTAAAGGGAAGAAAAGCAAATCACTATAAAGAATTTGTTCTGTAAAATCTTGGAGTATTGACTTTCTCAAAAGGTAAAAATGTCTGTCCTCTTAGGATGGGTATGTTACACATGCAAATCAAGTTTTTCATCAGTGTGTTTTTGTCTTTAATAAATTCTGTTCTCTGTGATATATTTAAAACTGGATATGTAATAGTAAGTGAACTCCACTGATTTTATAATTACAGATGACTTTTATTAGCATGGGAATTATTTAGCAAGTCCAGCTAAGTTACGTCAAGGCAGTTTTTATCCCAATTTTCAGAATGTAGAGGGAAAAAAAACTTAGTAAGTTGTTAGATATTTTTGGAAAGTAAATAACCTTTTTTGACTTAAAGTTTTTAGTTAGCTAAAAGAAAGGAGGAACTGAAAACATAAAATACAACTGTGTAATTGATAATGTTTTTCCTTATTTAGAATTCTGGTGATGATATTCTGGTAGCTACATTTTTGAATAGTGGTTTGCAGGTTTCTGACCTTTGTTTCATTATCATCAAATGTGTAGAGGAAGTAGTATATAAACTGAGACTTTGATACTGATAAGTGGGTCTTTTTCTTCCTTGATAGTGAAAGCTAAAATTCAGCCTACTCATTATAAGTGACCTTATTTTTGACCTTTGGGGGTTGAGAAGTAAGGCAGAATAAGGAAATAAATAACACATTGAAGGTCATAGTTCAGTGTATCTTTTTTTGGGGGGGGGGCAGCTGGCCTCTATCTTCTGTTTCTTGCCAAAAGGAGGAAAAATTAAATGACAGGTTATCTAGTATGTGAATTAGAGCACTAATATATATGTACATATAGCAGTTAGCATTTGGTGGCTTGTACATACTTAATCTCGTAATTATTTTTGAGTTTTAAATTGATCCTAATTTTACCACTTCTGTTTCAGAAGCAGAACGCTCTGAAAGAAATACATTTGCAGAAAGGCTTTCTGCTGTGGAGGCCATTGCAAATGCAATATCAGTTGTGTCAAGTAATGGCCCAGGTAATCGGGCTGGATCATCAAGTAGCCGAAGGTAATGTGATTTTTACCAGGAAAGTTTAATTGGACCAAAAAAAAAAAAAATTCAAGTACAGGAAGAAATGTATCTTTTACCTATATTATGCATAACTGGTGGGTCCTTTTTTGTTTTGTTTTTGTTCCTCCCAATAACACCCTGGGAAAAATATCTGATAGTAACTAATTAGAGTTTAAGTTTAGAACAGTAGGATCTAGGACACTTCATGCATTTGAAATAATTTAGACAAATAATTCAAACTTGATTCTTTAAATGTGTTCTAAATTCATCATTCTTGCTTCCCAGGAAGTTATTTTCTTTAGTTGGAGAACAAGTAATAACAACAATTGAAAGAACTTCAATCTTTTATTTTCAAATTGCTTATTAAGGTCAATTTCTTAGATGTCTTAATGATCTGGGAAGAAATGAAAGGCGGATGTTTACTATGAATTTTGATGTTTAAATTTTTAGGCTGAGTTGTGGGATGGACAGATGTTTATAACACATTAAAAATGGCTAGGTGTTTGACTAGATGATGAATATAAAGAATTCTGGGTATAGTTTTCCTTCTGTAGGAAAACGCACATTTATTCTAGGCACAAGAGAGCCAAAATCCTTGGTTACTGAAAGATTATTAATGGAAGCACTGCTGATTATGTGCTCACTGTGTTAGGTTGTAACATCTACTTAAAATGAAGACTCTCCTTGCCTGTATTCTGTTCCATATTCAACTTTCCCTTTAAAAATTATTATTATTAAATTGGTACCAGGAAGACTACCAAGTTGATAGCTTCCTGAGTTTAAATACATCCTGAGGTGAGATTTATTAAAAACTATTTGTGGGTGACCAAATTATAATTTAAAACAGTACAAAAACATTATGCAGACTATACAGAATGGACATTATCACCAGCTTATTTATTTAGAGCTATACTAGGCAGACAAAGTGTTCGGTCTGAAATGGGAAGCAACTTAGATTCTTCATGAAGAAATTAGTGTTTGAATTATTTCAGGTATTTCATTTCCTCAGGGAAAATACAGGTGCAAATCAAGTTGGACTCTGATATGGTTGGTCCAATGCCAGTGCTGCCATCTTTTTTTTCATGTAAGGATTATTTTGAAGGCAAAGTCTAAAAGGAGCTTCAAGAGTGGGTGATGTGTTGCTCACAGAAATAATTTGCAGAGTAAGCTCCTTTGAGGAATTTGCCGAAGATTTCACTGCAGTGCTCTTAACCAGTTCAAACTCAGGGCTGCCGATTGAACAGATGAAAGCACAGGAGTCTTATTATCCACGCCGGGCAGTAGGAAGTCCACAGACTCTGCTTCACTGAAGTGAAACCCTCCTCTAGCCTACAATGGATTTTCTAGGCGATGCCCCTTGATGAGTATGCAGGCTGGGATTCATGAGCTGTAAGCTCAAAACTGATGCAGTTTCAATATTGAATGGAGTACTGTTAAATGCCTTCAGATGATGATTTGACTGAGAACTTTTGTTATGTGACTCAATAATTCCTGAGTACAAAGGGCAGATTTAGTGGAAAGCTTGATTGATGCATCTGATTACAGGTGTATGTACTCTAGAGATTGTTAATCTGGAAGACACATGACCTTCGCTTTTTTGTCACAGTGTTATGTTTGAACATGACTGGATTCTAAGGCTTCTGTAGCATGGATATAACGTGCTCACAAAGAGGAAATTACATCATCCTTGAATTCTTCCATATTGTCAGAAAATACGATGACTCCAGGCAAGCCTATATGAAGAAATGTCAAATCTCTGAATCTTAGCAGCCAAGGTGGTATCTCCTCAGTATAGTCCTCAGCCACTGAGGATACAGGTGAATCTTCATGAATTGTGTACAACATCTTGAAGAATAATTTTCTTTTTTTTGTTTTTTGTTTTTTGTTTTTTAAGAATCTGTATGAGGAGCTGGGCATTGTACTTAAAAAATGTTCCCAAGACCTAATGAAGAAAAGAGGTTAAGGACAATTTTAAAAATGACAAGGAATGACCCCCTCATTTAATATTGAATTGACTACATGACAGCAACAAAGTTGGGAGTTTGCAAGTTCAAGATGAGACTATGGTCTCAGTTTATCTTCATTTATTCTCAACCTACTCTATAGAGGTTGGAGAATAGCCCACCTCTATATATGTTTTGTTTGGCTTGTGCAATGTTAAAAATTTTTTTTCCTTAAAATTTGAATGCCTTTAAATAAGCATGTATGCTTCTAGTTTGCCACTGCTCCCTATTTCTTATACCTGACTGCCCTTCACTCATTTATTATGCCTCTCTAGCCCAGTAGTCATTGAGTTTGTGACCCTGGTATAAACATTCTTCTCGATACATTAAAAACATACATTTATTTTCAGGTTATTTGCAGTGCCTCCCAATTATTGCTGATTTTCTTTTTTCTCTGTGCTTTGATTACGACACAGTAGGATACCAAGTGTCTGTGTCGAGTTTAATTAAAATTGTATAGGAGCATCACAGTGTGAACAGTTACTGTGATGTGTGCTGTTACTGGTAAGCAGCCTACCTTTCTCTGTGGGTGATAATCTTTAGACAGGGAAGTGACCTTGACTGAAACAATCACTGTATACTTCTCCCTTCCATATTATAAAAACTCTTGAACTCAGATTTCTAAATTTGGAAAAAGAAGACATTGATACTATAAAAGAATTAACTATAGGTATTTTAAAGTAGTGAATACTATAATAGCTAACATAATTTGAGATGTTAAAATTTACTTTGCAGAATCTTCCAAAGTATAGCATAAACAAGCCTTATGAAATAGATGTGTTCCTGAAAGTAGCCTCTAAATTTTTGTGAATGCTCTTTTCAAAACATTCTCTATAGAATTGAAAATTCATAGATATGGAAAAATACTTTTACCCTCAGATTAAATAACAATTATAATTAGTGATTCAAACATTAATAAAAATCTTTCAGAATTACTTATTTGTAGACATATTATGCTTACTTACTAAGGTGTTAGGGCTCTTACATCAGAAATGCCATAGCTTTGGAATTAAGTCTGCATGGGAGAATGAAGAAGTCCCTTATGTGTTGTCTGGCCCTTAAAATTGAATTTTTACTCTTTATTCTTTTAGAAGCTCTAAAATTGTGGCCGAGTGAAAGGATTTGCCTTTTGTGCTCTCTCTTAATTGTTGATAGTTCTAAATGTGTTAATTTTGTAGCCTTTGTGTAAGCTTCTATTTAGAGGTAAAGTATAGATTTTTGTACAGGTAGTTACCAGTTCCCCGAACAGAGTCTGTGTTTGCAATTATTTCTTTTTCTTTTTAGTAAGATGCATATGTACCTGTACAGTTTTTTCTTTTTAATAGCAGGAGAAAAAAAAAAATCACGCCCAGACATAAATCTAACAACATATTTTACAAGTTCTAGTTCTAGTTCCACTCATTAATTTCTTTGGTATGCAAATTGTACTGTTAAATTAGGGGTTTTTTGTATAAAAAAATAAGTCTAAATTGGTCTTTGTTCTAAAACTAGTCATTGTGTGGATATTAGTTTAATTGCTTTTGAGATCACAGAAAAGGGATTTAATAGGCTCATAATGGTTTGCTAATCAGTAGGTGTGCTCATGTCTATTATTAAACTTAATTCTTACTGATTATAAAGGGGACAGAAAAATTTTTGTTTTAATGTTCAGCTGTTCATTTATCTTAACTGTATGAAAGATTATTTCTAATCTTACTTCACTGAAACTTTGTTCCCTGTGCTTAAGTTTGTGTGGGAGCTTATTATAGTTGTTTTAGTGCTAAACTGCTAAACTGGGTACTAGGAGCCCCCAGTTTCATTTCTGTCCCTCACTGACTTATTCTGTGATTCCAGAATTGGCATTTGTACTTCACTTCCCTTGCCTGGAGTGTTTGATTGTATAATAAACTTTGATCTTCTCAGATGAGAAGTTCTGTACACCTTTTTATTACATTTAGATACGGTAGTGAGCTGTGATTTTTGTCCATGTTCTTCTAGTTTGAGATTACGGGAAATGATGAGACGTTCGTTGAGAGCAGCTGGTTTGGGTAGACATGAAGCTGGAGCTTCATCCAGTGACCACCAGGATCCAGTTTCACCCCCCATAGCTCCTCCTAGTTGGGTTCCTGATCCTCCTGCGATGGATCCTGGTAAGATCTATTCTTTTATTTAATGTTTAACAAAAAAAGACAAGATCATGAAAAAAAAGAAATTGAACATTTTAATGGGATATTTAGATATTTGAAGTATTTTGAAAGTAGCATGATGAGTTATAATTAATTTAGTTTTAAAATTTGATTTAAGGGGTTTATACTTTAAAAATTAAAATCCTAGAAACTTTTGTCAGGTATCCCTCTTTTACTGAAATGTTTATTTCTATACTGGTAAGAAATTAGATAGTCCCTTCAGTGGTAATACATCAAGATAAGCCAATAATCTGCCTAGTAGATTCCTTCTCTTATAGTTTGGAAAAGAAGTCTCCACTTAAACCTCTGTCCAATTTGACCTTTGGCTTGTAGAGAAAAGCCTAAGGCCAGTTAAGAGAACATGTTAGGGCTGTGTTGCCTATAATGATATACATCCTGCTGTTCTGTTTACTGAAAGATGGTGACATTGATTTTATCCTGGCCCCCGCTGTGGGATCTCTTACCACAGCAGCGACTGGCACTGGTCAAGGACCAAGTACTTCCACCATTCCAGGTAAGAATCTGTACTATTTTATCTGCCTATGCATTTAGAAGAAAAAAGGACACACTTTGGATATAGGTTTCTACAGATCTTTGTTAATGAAAATGACTGGGATGTATGTACATACATTTAGAAATCATTTGAGATTTGTAAAATTTGTAAATATGTTTAAATTTCTTATAATGAATTTATTACTAATACTAGAATATTATTCTGGTGGTTTATTTAATACTCATATGTGCCTGATACATTATTCTGGAATATTCTTTTATTCTGTCTCGTTTATTCTTGTTTTGGTACTAAATAGGTCTACTTAATTACAGGTCCTTCCACAGAGCCATCTGTAGTAGAATCCAAGGATCGAAAGGCGAATGCTCATTTTATATTAAAATTGTTATGTGACAGTGTGGTTCTGCAGCCCTATCTACGAGAACTCCTCTCTGCCAAGTAAGAAGATTGAACATACTTTTCATATGAAGTTTTAGCGTAGCTACTTTTACTGTTTAGGTTGATGTTCTTGCAATGTTTGGACAACAATTATCTTAAGTGAATTTAAAACAATTTATCAGAATCCAGCATTGTATTCCCTCTGCTACTAAGCTCTCTTCAGTGAAAGAGGCCATCTCAACATCATATAGTGTGTAGTAAATGTATACAAACCGACTTTTATGTTAGCTTGATTGGGGTGTATATTTATATGTTAAAAAGATTACAGAATAGTTATTCTGAGTATAGCAAAATTTAGTTTTTTGTTTATCATGACATTTCTTTTATAATTAGAAAGGAAAATAATTAATAAATAATATTTTTATGTACAATTTTTCTTATGTTAGGGATGCAAGAGGGATGACCCCATTTATGTCAGCTGTAAGTGGCCGAGCTTATCCTGCTGCAATTACCATCTTAGAGACAGCCCAGAAAATTGCAAAAGGTAATTTATTTCAAGTCCTAAATGAGTTGCTTATTTTCCAATTTGAATAGATTGTCTTCTGTATACATATCATAATTATTAAAAAAATAATTTCTATGTATGTAAATGACATAATTGATGGGAAACTTTCAAGATAATTCTTTTGCGTGTGTGTGTCCAGAATATTTTTCTCAAGTATATTATATCTTCTGACTTTCCACCAAAAAGCAGTTGGTATAAATTTATTGGCTAAAAAAATATTTCGTAGTGGATAGCATAACAGGTGATCTTTTGAAAATAAAGATAGATTACTGAAGGAACCTGTCAGTATTAAATTTGTAGTAGTGATAAAAGTTTATGGAAATAATAGGCATATATCATATTGTAGTTACTTCTGACTTGGAATTCTTGCTTAATAAAGCATTAAGGAACATCAATTCCTGCCATTCAGCCTCTAAAAGATTAACATAGATATCTTTTCAAAGCACTGGTGATAAGTAATTTGTGAGATGGTCTGTAATTTGCTAAGTAGAGCTAGGACTCGAGTCTTAACTGCCTGACACATATCTAAGGATTCAGATGGCTGATATGTAGTATGTTTGTATTATCATCATATGTGGTTATGATATAATTATGCTTTGCCTTATTTTGCTCCAGAATTGGTTAGATTTCCTTGCACATTGACTTCGTATACCAAATTAATATAGTTTCTGGTTTATACTGCATGTATGTTAAGGCTCTTTCATTTCAGGAAAATAGTAGACGGCTGTGTTAAATTATTTCCTGATATGTGAACTACTGTGTCCTTAAAATTTTTAGCTGAAGTATCCTCAAGTGAAAAAGAGGAAGATGTATTTATGGGAATGGTTTGCCCATCTGGTACCAACCCTGATGACTCTCCTTTATATGTCTTATGTTGTAATGACACCTGCAGTTTTACATGGACTGGAGCAGAGCACATTAACCAGGTATTTTATATTTCTCTGTATTTATGTTATCTTCAGGTTTCTTCTTTCCCCTTTATAGGGAGTTACAGTTTACAACTTTAGAATTATAAGTCTGATATTTCCTTTTACTCTGAGTTATAAAACTCTCAAAAGAAAGTTAATTTTGATTTTATTCCTAAATAAGTGAGGCAGAGGAGTTGATTACTAAATGAAATATTACATATCGTGAAAATTGCAAATCTTCACTAGATAGTATAATCTAATCCACAACTCTAGATATAGATTTTATAACTAGAACACCTTTTTGGGTATGATGTAAATTATTTTTGTTCTCCTGGTAATATTTGATTTCTATTTGTATAATATAAAGTGTATATTTGCTGTACCCTTCTGACTCCTTGTTTTCCAGAGCACAGTAATTTTACTCTGCTGTTGTGATTAAATTGTTTTAGAAAATACCGAGAATAATTGTGATGATGAGATATACACTTATAATTATTTTTTTAAAAAAATACATTCTTTTAATTTTAGGATATTTTTGAGTGTCGAACTTGTGGCTTGCTGGAGTCACTCTGTTGTTGTACAGAATGTGCAAGGGTTTGTCATAAAGGTCATGACTGCAAGTGAGTATAAGTAGTTTAATTTAATATTTTAAACTGTTAGATTTAGCTTGCCATATGGAAATAATGTACACTGTCATGTTTTTCTTAAATTTTTTATTTTAAGATTTATTTGTACATATTTGTGGGGTACAGTGTGTTGTTTCAATACATGCATATACTGTACATTGATTCACTTATGGTAGATAGCAAGTCAGGTTTTAATTGTTGGATACTTAGAAAGCATGAGGTTTTTTTAAGTTTCCCTCTTTAAGTCAGTTTATGAATAAAAAATGTTCTTGGATTTAAAGTATATTGTGAAATGTTTGGTTTTTGCTAATTCTAATATAGCCCTCCTTAAGTAAAAGGATAATATGCTAAGGAATATGTGATCATACATTGTGACTAGGATTAGTTTAGTTACTTGAAAAACATATCTACATAGTGCTTTTGTCTGTATTGTGCAGCCAAGGTCTCAGTAGGGTCCACTAGAAGAAAATTGCCATAGGCATTAAGTGAATCGTGGTGAATGTTTGGACTGTGCCTTAATTACTTCTTAAACAATGCAATAATTTTTCATCTAGCAGTGGAGTTACCACAGCTAGTTTTGCTAGTTTTCACAGACCAAAAAGGCAATAAAATGCCCCAGCACTAACATTTGCAGTGCCTCCGGATTATCCATGGAGACATCAGCTATAAATGGCTATAGATGTATAGCTATTATAAGTAATAGAGAATTGGATTGTAAAAATTATCTATTGTCTTAAAATAAGTAATTATGTAGGATAAGTGGAAAATTTTTATAGATACTACATTGATGCTTATTTGTAATTTTTGTTATAAGAATTTTGGCTAATATTTTTGTCTTTCTTATTTTTAACATCTAAAAGCGATAATCTGTTTATTATCGATTGTTTACTACATGCATTTCCAGTGCTAGATGCTAGGGTGGTCTTGACAGCGTTTACAGTCTTGTCAGAGGACACAAGAAATATCTGCCCATAAAGGTTATAGGTTTCATTAGATGCATGTAGGATGACCACTTAAACTGGATTGAGACTGTGGTGAATTAGGGAAGACATTCCAGAAGTGACTATACCCGAGTTGTTATACCTCTTCTCATGGGAATTTTATGTTGTTCTGTAGACTTCATACTGCTAAGTAAAATCCTTCTTGTCATAAAAGCATTAACAGTTACACCTTGCATTTAAACATTAACAAGGGTTCTATCTGGTTTCAGTGAGTTATGCCTCCATAATTTCAATATAGACCTATGTATATTTTTTAAATTTCAGTTTTTGTCCTTGTGTATGAATTCTTTCTAGACTCAAACGGACATCACCGACAGCCTATTGTGATTGTTGGGAGAAATGTAAATGTAAAACTTTAATTGCTGGACAGAAGTCTGCTCGTCTTGATCTACTTTATCGTCTGCTCACTGCTACTAATCTGGTCACTTTGCCAAACAGCAGGCAAGTGGGATTTTTAGGATATAAAATAAGTTAAACTGAAAGAGCACAGCACATCTGACTAGCCTTCCCTCCCCAACACAATGATGTTCTGTTTTGCAGGGGAGAGCATCTTCTACTGTTTCTAGTGCAGACAGTTGCAAGGCAGACAGTGGAGCATTGCCAGTACAGGCCACCTCGAATCAGGGAGGATCGTAACCGCAAAACAGCCAGTCCTGAAGGTGAGAAAATTTGATGTTTATGACATTAATGAAAAGTAGTATGTTCTATTTCTGTCTTACCCACTATTTCTTTTTAGATTCAGATATGCCTGATCATGATTTAGAGCCTCCAAGGTTTGCTCAGCTTGCATTGGAGCGTGTTCTACAGGACTGGAATGCCTTGAAATCCATGATTATGTTTGGGTCACAGGAAAATAAAGACCCGTATGTATTCATTAAAGCATTTTTAGATTTATGTAGTTCCCATGTTAATGTAGGCTTTTACAGTACATTCTGTCTTTCCTTCTTCCTCAAGTCTCAGTGCCAGCAGTAGGATAGGCCATCTTTTGCCAGAGGAGCAAGTATACCTCAATCAGCAAAGTGGCACAATTCGGCTGGACTGTTTTACTCATTGCCTTATAGTCAAGTGTACAGCAGATATTTTGGTAAGTTCTTTAAATGTTTATTACAAGTACATGAAAAGGACATTTGTCTTATCATCCCATGATTTCTCTAATTCAGCTCCTGAATACTGATAAACTGATTAAGTAGTGCATTAAGGTGAATGGAATTTTGAAGGTGATTTAAGTTTTTCAACAGCAGAAGCTCTTTCTTTAATTCTGATAAATCCTAAAATGTGTTAAAAACAAAACATTATATGAATAAATGGAGCAGTGTTTAAATTTAATAGTAACAGTGCATATTTTCTGAGTACTCCCTTTTGCTGTGAAATTAGAAAATAATTTATGTTTTTACTTATTGAAACATAATTGATTGTACATATTTGTGAGTACAGCATTGAATATCAATACCTGTGTGCAATATGTGATGCTCAAAGCAGGATTATTAGTATATTCAGCATTATACAATGTAATCATTTCTTGTGGCCCTTTACCAGGTTCTCGCTAACCACCCTTCCCCCTCTCCCTTTCCCACCTCTGGTGGCCTCAGTTCTGTTCTCTCTTTCTGAAAGTTCAGTGAATTATTGTGATTGTTGTATCTTTCTTTCTTTCTTTCTTTTTTTTTTTTTTAAAGTTCCCACTTATGAGTGAGGACGTGCAGTATTTCTCTTTCTGTCCCTGGCTTATTTCACTTAATATAATTTAGAAAAGAATTTAAACCATAAGACCAATGCTGATGCAGTTATGGTAAAAAGGATGTGCACTCAGACATGGATGAGGTGGCACTGTATTTGGTCTTTTCTTTGGAAAACAACTTGGCAATGTCTAGTGTCATAAATATATCAGTATCCTCAGTACCTATCATAAAGAAATAATTTATGAGAAAGATAAAATGATGTCACAGAATAATGTGAAATTAAAAAATGGAAATGCATTATGGACCCAATAAAAGTGGGCTGTTGAATCAAATTACAGTCCAACCTCTTACAGAAAGGTTATTGTAAAGCAACATTTAAAAATAACAGAAAATAGAACATGAAATTAAGTGCTGTCTGTAATTAATATCTGTGTGGTAAACGTGCATGTATAGAAAATAGACTAGAAAGTAGTAGTAATAGTTCAGTGAGGAGGTGGCATTATGGATTTATTAATATTAATATTTGAATATACTTTGCTGTTTGGTATTACTCTTCTAAAAATTAATACATGTACGGGCCGCCCGGTGGCGCAGTCGGTAGAGTGTGGCGGCGCTCCCGCTGAGGGTTCGGATCCCATATAGAGACCCGTCTGCTCACTGGTTGAGCGCGGTGCGGGCGCGACACCGCGGGTTGCGGTCCCTTTGCTGGTTGCAGTACGGGTGCAACACTGTGGGTTGCGATCCCGTTACCAGTCACGAAAAAAGACAAAAAGGAAAAAAAAATTAATACATGTAGGACTATGGGATTAAAAAAACAAGAAATCATACATTTGGAATCCACTAATGTGTCAAGCACAGTGATAAGTGTGTTGCATTAAATTGATCACTGTCATTGTAAAGGCTTTGGTTAAATTTGCTTTGAGGTTTTATTATGAAATATTAATATTGATGAAAAAGTGTTGGAGCTTTTTGCTTTATGAATGTCTAGTCTTATGAAATGTCTTAACATTAATCAAGTGATTACAATTTTTTAAAGCTTTTAGATACTCTACTAGGTACTCTAGTGAAAGAACTCCAAAACAAATACACACCTGGACGTAGAGAAGAAGCTATTGCTGTGACGATGAGGTTTCTGCGTTCAGTAGCAAGAGTTTTTGTCATTCTTAGTGTGGAAATGGCTTCATCCAAAAAGAAAAAGTAAGGCATTCTTTTTGATTTGGCTTTTGTATCATTTTGCACACTTAAAAAAAAAATGTGGTGATTGTAATAAAATAATATATATGAAAGAGTTCTTAAAATCTTTCTATAATTTTGTTTTTCCCTAGCAACTTTATTCCACAACCAATTGGAAAATGCAAGCGTGTATTCCAAGCACTGCTACCTTATGCTGTAGAAGAATTGTGCAATGTAGCAGAGTCACTGATTGTTCCTGTCAGAATGGGGATTGCCCGCCCAACTGCACCATTTACTTTGGCTAGTACTAGCATAGATGCCATGCAAGGCAGTGAAGAATTATTTTCAGTGGAACCACTGCCACCACGACCATCATCTGATCAGTCTAGCAGGTAAATTTCTATCTGGTTACAGATTCTGATTAATTCTTTCTCTGAAAGGTCATATTTGGCTTACTAAAATTTTCATATAAGCACTCGTGGTAGAGATTTTCCTTTGGAACATATGAAAGCACTTTAAAAATTACACATGTGTCTACAAATCTAACTTAATAGATGTATAGTTGTGAGGTTTTTTTGTTTGTTTTTGTAAAGGCACTGGTTTTATCATGCTAATAAAGTAATCTGGTAAAAAAGTTTATTTTGTAGACATTATTGCTTTCTATTTTTTCTTACATTTAAATATAGTCTGCTATAAGGCCAAACTGAAAAGACCTATAACTTTTTCTGTGTCTAAAGGGTTTGGCTAGGGAGGCAACTTGTTATTATGTAATGTAAATAACCAGAAAGCTGGAATTTTAAAATATTTTCTATGAAAATCATATTACTTAGGATAGGGCTGAAACAACTCAATAATAAAAGCTTCTAGTTACAAAATTATTAATTCTCAAATCTCATTTATCTTTTCCATTTGTTTGATAGTTTCCCTAACTACATTGTAAGGTTGTTGAGTCAGAATGTTTAGAAACAAACTTTCTCGTGTCCTTTAGCATAGTGCTTCTCAAACTTTAATATGAATGCAAATTACTTGGGGATCTTACTAAAATACAGATGCTCATTCTGGAGGTCTGTGGTGGGGCCTGAGACTTTGTATTTCTTAAAAGCTCTCAGGTGATGCCAGTGTTGTTGATGTAAGGGCCACATTTTTGAATAGCAGTGCTCTAGAGATTTTTAGCAAATATTTGCTTATTTTATTTAGTTTTCTCAAGTCTTGTTACCTTGTGTATGTGTAATGATGTTTTAATAAGGATCTTTAGGAACTAAAGACCTTTCTTCCCCCTTTAAAACTAAATTAGAGACCTTTCTTCCCCTTTTCTGGAAAATACCTGTGTTAATAAGGATGGCTTGCTTTAGTATTTGGGACAGTTCCCTGCACTTCATCCCTCAGTTTCATCTAGGTTGATGTTGAGTATCTGCTTTCTCACTACTATTCTCTTTATTACTCTATATGCTAGTATATGTGTCCCAACTTTTCTTTGATGGTTGGGTCTCCTTTGATTGTTGGGTCTCCAGGTTTATTTGACAAATCTCTTCCATGGTAGCCTTGTCCCTGAAAACCTTCAGGATTTGCTGATAACAGTTATAGCTCAAGCTATATATCTTCAGGCTTGCCAAATCTACCCCATTATCAATTGGTTCTGCTAGTGAAATCTGTTTGGAGATTATGTGATTTTTTTCTTATCCCATACCCTGTGAGGAACCAACCAGTTACTTAAGTGGTATTATCTTACGAATTCTTAATACACTTCCCTTGATTTTGTTCCAGAACATAAAAATTGATATCTTTGAACAGATTTGGAGATCATCTCATCTCTAAACACTGTCCATAAGCCTATTCTTACTGTTTTAAGATTTTGTCATTTTACTCTGCTTCTTAGTCTCATTATTAAAGTATTATATATATACTCTTAAGCTCTCCTCTTTACTACATTTCTCTTTCTTGATTCTTGGACAAACTTCTTAAATTTTCCCAGAAGGAGACGTTATTTGACAATCAAGAGATAGTGCTAATGTTTTTTACAACTGTTCATTTAATACAGTACAATCACTCCTTCCCAGAAGAGGGTGTATTTTGACCAGTGTTCCAAGTATGTCTTAAAAGCACACACTTACCAGTCTTTGGGACCCTGTGTTGGATGACAGGTGGTGTGTATAACCCCACTGAATGTAAAGTCTTGAGGGCAGTAATTTTGCCTTTTTTGTTGCATCCCTCCACTTTTCAAAATTCTTTTATCTTTATTTTAATTAATCTGTTTCTACTCTATCTTCATGCTACTTATTATACAGCAATACCAACAGTTACTGAAATTTTAGTATGTATTAGGAACTTTCATAAGCATTGTAGATGTATTATCTGTTTCAATCTTCCCAATAACTCATAGATACCCACTGTCATTCTTATTTTTAAAATGAGGAAACTAAGGCTCAGAGAGATTAAGTAACTTGTCCAACATTACACATCTGTTATAGAGGCTGGACTCCAATCTAGACAGATATTTTCTTTTTTCTATATTCCTAAATAGTAGATGGCAGAATAGATAAACTGCTGCTTGGTACTTGATGATAGTGTGGAGCCACCAAGTTAAACAACATCAAAGCCCACCCTACCTTATGGTGCAAACTGAAGTCCTGAACTGTCTTGACTGCAGGCTTGTAGTCAGAAGTTCTCTGAAGAGACCTTTTTCCTGTCTTTGTCCAGCCCTGGCTGAGATAGGCCAGGCTGCTGAAATATGATTTTTCTTTTATTTCACTCCATAATGGTGTTATCCTTTCAAGATTTATGTTTGGCTGTATGTATGTGAGGGGCACAGAAGAGGAGATTCCTGCGATGACTTCCTACATTGCTTAGACCCCAGACGGTCTCTTGTGAAATCTATGCCTCCTTGAAACCCTTCTAGTCCAAGAGATATCAGCAGATGTCTTCGGGGTAAATAGTGGCACTAGTGCCACCCAAGCTTATGATTGTTTTTCTCTATCACCAGCATAGCTGTGCCTTTAAAAAAATTTTTTTTTAATCTAGTATATTTAAGTGTTTCATGCCGAGAGGTTTCTCTGCACAACTAGTCTGCCAAGTTGCTGGAAATAGAAGTCTCTCAAACTTACAAGTAATTTTAACAATGCCTTTAAGACTAGATCTTAAGTCTTTGGTGCTTCATTGTGCTAGCAATTCTGGTGGAAAAAAAAGTTGAAGCTCCACTTCTAAATGGAGACTTATAATATGTTTTGTGCATTGTGGTAGTATCATACATACTAAGTGCGTAACTACTTAAGGTAACAGTTTTGAAAGGACTATAGTTCTTGTGGATGGATGTTTGTTCTAGGATGTTTTAAAAAAACATTTTAAAAAAGAAATAGTTGTGGCTTCACACAATTTTGACTTATTTGTTAATGTTGAAAATATTGAAATCTATTTAGTGGCTGGAAATAACCTTTTCTTCCCCACAGATTTTTCTCTTAGCCTCTCCCACTCCTTTGTAATTCATGATCTGTTTTACCAGTGACTTAAAGTTCTAGTGTTAAACACCCAAATTGTCTCACTTGGTTCTCACATGTAACTGGTTTGATTTTCATTTCTCAGAGTAACTGAGGTGAGGAAAGAACACTTAACAGTGCAGTGTTTTAAAGGTCTTTTAACTTTAACCTCTCTTAGCCCCTGTTTCTTTATCTTAAATAACAGGTCACAGGGTTAACAACCATCTACAAATCTCTGGCTTGCATTTTAAACTGTATTCTTGGTTTTCCCCTTCCCCCTCCCTTTTTTTTTTTTTTTTTCCCCTTTTTGTCTTTTTTACTGACCGGTGACGGGATCACAACCCTCTGTGTCGTGCCCGTACTGGGGACCGGCAACAGGATCGCAACCCTCGGTGTCGTGCTCAGCCAGTGAGCGGGAACCGGTCTCCCCATGGGATCCGAACCCTCAGCGGGAGCGCTACCGCGCTCCCAAGCAGCGCACTCTCCAGTGCGCCACCGGGCCGGCCCTCCCCTTCCCTTTTAATGGAGGCTTCTATCTTGTCTTGGCTGTTTCCAAATCAGGGTTTTAGGGAAGTAAAACTTTTGCTACCCCATCTTCGGTTATAATTCTTTTGTAAAATTATTCTATGGAATTGATGTTTTTCCCCACACACATTAGCAAGTCAATGATTAATAAGCTGATGCAAAGTAGAAATTGGGTTAGGTCTCTTAAAGAATAGATCACTTATAATAAGTTCATGGATGAATGGTGATATTGGAGCCTTTGGAAGTTGAGGATTGCTGGTGAAGAAGGAAAAATCTTCTGTAGAATTTTTTAATTGGAAGGACTCATACAAATATGTTCATCAACACATATTTGAAATGACTTATTAAAAAGCAAAAGCAAATTCTGAGACATAATTAAAATCTGTATGGTAAAATAATTTCTTTTGGGGTTCATGTTTCCTGATGTACTACAGATTAATTATTGTTGGTTTTCAAGAATTCTCAGGTCAGATTTAAAATGGCATCCTAGCAAGTGTCTCACATGTAATAAACTAGCGAAGTGCTTACACTGAGAAGTATAAAAGTATATGCTGTATGTCTGAGATGTGCAGCAGTAATAACCTTCTGATTCCTTACAGCTCCAGTCAGTCTCAGTCATCCTACATCATCCGGAATCCTCAGCAGAGGCGCATCAGCCAGTCACAACCAGTTCGGGGCAGAGATGAGGAACAGGATGATATTGTTTCAGCAGATGTGGAAGAGGTAGTTTTAACTGTTTTAATTGTGGCAGATGAAAAATTTTTATTTGGTGGGAAGGGGGAGGTAGTCACTAGAAGTTATATTAATAGTATCTTAGGACTACTATACGCATTTGCATCCAGCCTGTAGACTTTTGTTATATGTTCTCATTTGTGGCTATTCGTATTAAAATGATTTTAATAATCCTTGTTTTACTGGATGTTAGGAAATTGGACACACAAATTTATTTTTACTTAAGGGTTAAGAGGAAAGATAATCTCAATGTTAGGAATAAAGATATTCTTAATGTTAAAATAAAACCTTAGTAGATTTGTGCAGTGTGTTCGAAAGAGATACTACATTTTTTTTAGGTAAGTTTTATAATTGCTGAAGTATATAAAAAACTTATCCCACCCCCCAAGTATAATTTTTATACTTCTAATTTTAGGATTCTGTATATGAACAATAATCATAAACTTTGTGATATGTTGATATAATTTTTAAAGAATTTGTTTGGTTTTTGGCAGCTAGTATGGGGATCCAAACCCATGACCTTGGTGTTATAAGGCTATGCTCTAAACAGCTGAGCTAAATGGCCAGCCCTATGTTGATATAATTTTTGATAGTAAATTGTCACTAGCAAATGAAGACTCAAAACTGCTTAATGTGTAATTTACAATTCCCTATAGTTAGGGATCTTTGCATTTTAGTTTAGTAGTTGCTGTGGAGGAACCCTGGTAGAGATATGGGTTTGTTCTGTACTTTGATTGTCTACAAATAAGATTCTGGATTTAGGTTGAGGTGGTGGAGGGTGTGGCTGGAGAAGAGGATCATCATGATGAACAGGAAGAACATGGGGAAGAAAATGCTGAGGCAGAGGGACAACATGATGAACATGATGAAGACGGTATGCAGGTTACTTCAGTATGAGTAAATCAGACACCTTGAAAGGGAGATTTTAAATACAGAGAAAAGCCCCATTTGATGTATAGTGAAATATTCAACATATCTTCTGCCAAGGGATTCTGTAGCATCTGATTCAAAATATTAGGAGGTAGCTACATACATATATAAAATAATTTTTCCTCTTCTCCCTTTTCCTTTCATTCTAAGTCACTTTCTCTTTTCTTAAAAGACTTTTGAAAACGAAAATAATCATAACCACATTATGAAACATTTGGAAATTAGAGAAAAGGAAAATAAATCATCCACAATTCTACCCAGATGCTAACAATTTGTATTTTTACTTTCAGTCCTCCCTGGCACTGCCTTGTTCCTATTCATGTCATTTAAATGTTATATGTGTAATTTTTATGACTCCTTTTTCACTTAAGATAATTAAATTGCACATATTTAAAATTTATAATTTGATATTTTTTGACATACGTATATACCGTGAAATATAAAATAGATGGTTTTAACTTCCTTCCCCTTTTGGAAGCCCAATATGTAAAACAGATGGAAATGGAGCAAGTGGACCTATTCCAGAGCTCTGCCCACTAACTGAAGTCACCCTGCTAAACACTTTTTTTTGCAGACACCTAAGGCTCTTCAGGAGATTTTCAGTTGCTATGTAATAGTCCACTGACTGCCACAATTTACTTAGTTATTCTCCTAATGTTGAGCAGTCACTTATTCTTATGGGAATAGTTATCCTTTCTTTGTGTCTTTTTTCACCCACTTACCAGTATACTTTTCTTAGTTCCTACCCTTATGATATTATGGCTTATCAGACCATGTCTTGATTCATAGTAAGTTTGTAATTGTTTTCTTTTCTTATTATTATTTAAATATATTTTCTAGGAAGTGACATGGAACTGGACTTGTTAGCAGCAGCTGAAACAGAAAGTGACAGTGAAAGTAACCATAGCAACCAAGATAATGCTAGTGGGCGCAGAAGCGTTGTCACTGCAGCAACTGCTGGCTCAGAAGCAGGTGTGTTGTCTTATCCCAGCAACTTTCTTGCTAATGCTAAAGCTTTGTGTGTATTCAACATGAAATGGTTAATACTCAGTAGGATATGCACAGCGTAGCTAAACCTTTTTATAACTTCATCCTTAGATGAATTTCATCTGTAGATGTTAGAGAAGAAGGTATTATTTTAACAGCTTTTCTCCTCAGCTTTTCTGGTTTTTAAATAATGGAAATTTTAAAGTTCATTTAAACGAGTTCTTTTTTAATTAAACTCTTTTAATAGTGGGTTTTGTGGACTTTTGAAACAACCTGGCATTCTGTTTAATATGTATATTTTCCTGAATGAGAGGGGGTACATTGTAATTTTAATTATCAACAAACTAACAATGTATCTGGTTTTAAAAACAAAAAATTTAGGAGCAAGCAGTGTTCCTGCCTTCTTTTCTGAAGATGATTCTCAATCAAATGACTCAAGTGATTCTGATAGCAGCAGTAGTCAGAGTGACGACATAGAACAGGAGACCTTTATGCTTGATGAACCATTAGAAAGAACCACAAATAGCTCCCATGCCAATGGTGCTGCCCAAGCTCCCCGTTCCATGCAGTGGGCTGTCCGTAACACCCAGCACCAACGAGCAACTAGCACAGCCCCTTCCAGTACATCCACACCGGCAGGTAAGTCTGAAAACTCGGTATTCCTAAGAGTACTTGAATAGCTTTTTAAAATTATGCATGTTCATCTATAGAACAAATTAAATATTTTTATAATGGTTCCTCATTGTTTTGTTGAGTTTCAAGGATAGAAATTCTTTATAAATGATTATAGCAGGGTTTCTCAGTCTTTGTACTGTTACTACTCTGGGCTGGATAATTCTTTACGGTGGGGGTTGTCTTGCGCATTGTAGGATATTAAACAGCATTCCTGGCCTTGTACCCACTAGATGCCAGTAGCACTCCCCTCCCTTCCACTTCCTCCAGTTGTGATAACTAAAAATATCTGCAGACATTGCCAAATGTCCCCTTTGGGGGGAGAGGGCACAAAAATCACCCTTGGTTCAGATTGTTATACTAATTTTTGCCCCCCTCAACACTTCCCTCCCCAAATTAGCATGGTTTAGGGAAAGATTTTTGCTCAGTTACTACATATTAGCAGTTGGCCAGTTAGATTTATATAAGTATATATAGTGCCGGAGAAACACAATTAGCAACCGACATTAGCTCATGATTGTTCTTTTTCCTTATAGCAAGTTCAGCGGGTTTGATTTACATTGATCCTTCAAACTTACGCCGGAGTGGTACCATCAGTACAAGTGCTGCAGCTGCAGCAGCTGCTTTGGAAGCTAGCAATGCCAGCAGCTACTTAACATCAGCAAGCAGTTTAGCCAGAGCTTATAGCATTGTCATCAGACAAATCTCGGACTTGATGGGCCTTATTCCTAAGTATAATCACCTAGTATACTCTCAGATTCCAGCAGCTGTGAAGTTGACTTACCAAGATGCAGTCAACTTACAGGTATGAAACCATTGAAAAGTTACTCATTCAAATATATATTTTTTGGCTGTAAATTATAAGAATTCTAGTATAATGGGAATTAATGTTACAGATATTTAAATGTTGACATACTACTACTATACTGAATTTAGCTCTGTTTGGATAGTTTTAACTATTTTAGTTTGGTCTCCATAGAACTATGTAGAAGAAAAGCTTATTCCCACTTGGAACTGGATGGTCAGTATTATGGATTCTACTGAAGCTCAATTACGTTATGGTTCTGCATTAGCATCTGCTGGTGATCCAGGACATCCAAATCATCCTCTTCACGCTTCTCAGAATTCAGCACGTAGAGAGAGGATGACCGCACGAGAAGAGGCTAGTTTACGAACCCTTGAAGGCAGACGGTATGAAATTCCTAATATATACTTGAGTGTTTAGATAGAGCCCTTATCTCCTAGAAGGTTAGAGCTTTATGATTGCTGTTACATAAAACCTCATCTTAATGTAGAGGAGGAAGTAAATGCCTTGCATTATTTCTTTTTAGGTTGTTGTGTAGATTGATGCAAAATGTTAGTTATAATCCAAACTGTTTTGTAAAAACCCATTCATATCATAGGAATCTAATACTAAAGACTTTTCCATTTTGAAGTTGTTGGTCCACATCCTGTCATTATCCCCCAGTGCTCTCCACTTCCTTTTTGAAAGGCATATATATATTGATGGAAAGACATATTTTGATTGTGATTGAATATGAATGTACTTTGTAGTCGGGAAGGAAAAGTATGTGAAATTACCAAAGCTGCCCTTTGGTTTCCCACCTCAAGTTTTTTCCCTGTTTCCTCCAGCTGGTTGAATCATAATTTAAAAAAAAAAAAAAAAATGTGTGTGTGTGTGTGTGTGTATATACACACACACACACACACACACACACACATATATGTATTTGTTAGGTTCTTTCTATTCAATTATAAAATGATCTTTTTCAGGACTAGGTATTAGCCCAAACATTGAACACTAGAGCAGTGGCGGTGCCATATAGTGAAAGTGCCCTGTACCTAAAATCAAAGTCCTAGGATTTGGTTCTCGTTCTGGCTCAGGCTAAACAACTTTGCTACTTTGAACAGATCAAAAAAGTAAGGGAAGACAAGGGTCTAGAAGACTGCTTAGAAAACTTTAACAAGACTATGGTTGGAGTCTACAAGAGAGATAAGGCCAAGAAGGAGGGGAGAAAAGCATTGAAATCATTAACAGAATTTAGGGCCTTGTTGAGGGATAGAGCAGGAGGAGGCTGAATTTATTTTTATATTTTGATTATGAGTAACTCATAGGAAAATTAAGAGAAAAATCTAGAGGAGTGGAGTGGACACATTTGCTTTTGAACATGTGAGAACTGGGAAACAATTTTGTGGAAAAGTCTAGCATGCAAAATTGAATGCTTGGCAGAGATGTCTGGATTAGCGATAAAGATTTGGGAGGCAGCAGCTTTCCTGTCCTAGGAAGCCTGCTCTACAAAGACACAAATGCCTTGTCTTCCTTAGGCTATAGTTACTACCCCAGAGAACACACAATTCTGATGATAGATCTTGTTTGGTGGCAGTGTTCTCTCTCACTGTCTCACATGTTTTTATGTTACTTTACTGAGATATAATTTACATACCATACCATATACCCATTTAAAGTATACAATCCCATAGTTTTTCAGAGCTGTGTAATTGTCATCACAGTCAATTTTGGAATACCTGTATTTTCACCGTCTCTACAAGAAACCTCATACCTATTAGCAGTCATTCTCCATTTTCCCCTAACTCCCTGCCCTAGGCACCTGTAATCTATTTTCTGTACCTACAGATTCTGGACACTTTATGTAAATAGAATCATACAATATGTGGTCTTTTGTGACTGGCTTCTTTCATGTAGCATAATGGTTTTAAGGTTTATCCATGTTTGTAGCATGTGTCAACACTTCATTTTTATTTTTTAATAATATTTCATTCTGTAGATATACCACATTTTGTTTATCTTTTCATCAGTTGATGGACATTTGGGTTGCTTCTACCTTTTCACTATTGTGCATAATGCTGCAGTGAACATTTGTGTATAGGTTTTGTGTGACATGTGTTTTCAATTTTCATGGGTGTAGTCCCAGATGTGGAATTGCTGGGTCATATGGTAACTCTCTGTGTTTAACCTTTTGAGAAACTTTGAGACTTTTCCGAGGAGGAAAGCATTCTTGACAGGAATATATGAGAGTTTTCTTGCTCCATATTTTCACCAATACTTGTTTATCATCTGTCTTTTGATTTTAGCCATCTTAGTGTCTGTGGCATAGTAATCTCATTGTGGTTTTGACCCTCTTTTTATATGCCAATTGGCCATTTTTATATATTTGGAGAAATGTCTATTTGGATTCTTTGCCCATTTTTAAAAATTGGCTTGTCTTTTTGGTGGTTGTTTAGTTCTTTATATATTCTGGGTACAAGTCCCTTATTAAATATGATTTGTAAAAATTTTTCTCATTCTCTGGGTTATTTTTTTACTTTCTTGACAGTGTTCTTTGAAGTACAAAAGTTTAAAATTTAGATAAAGTTAATTTTATCTGTGTTTTCTTTTGTTGCTTGTGCTTTTTGTGTCATTTTTAGGCAGTGGTTCTGAAAGTGTGGTCCCTAGGACAGCAGCATCAACCGCACCTGGGAGCTTGTTAGAATTGCAAGTTCTTGGGCCTTACTCGAGACTTAACTAAAACTATGGTGGTGGGACCAGATATCTGTTTTAATAAGCTCTCTAGGTTATTTTGACCCTGAAGTTTGAGAATCATTGTCTTTAGGGAAGGAGTTCCTTCTGCCATTCCAAAGGATACTGGAATTCCTTTTCTATATAATAATATAGGGCTATATAAATCATACACAATGGTTATATTTCTAAAGCAGAGCCATAGGCTTAATGAGGTTTTATTTATGAATAAAATAAAAATATTTATATATCTTATGAATATATATTTATGTACTCATAAGTATTCTGAGTTCCTAATTTTGTATATTTATGACAGTGGTAAATTTTACATTTGTGTTCTTTTTATAAACATTTTCATTTCTTTCTGTTCCCATAGACGTGCTACATTGCTTAGTGCCCGTCAAGGAATGATGTCTGCTCGAGGAGACTTCCTAAATTATGCTCTCTCTTTAATGCGGTCTCATAATGATGAGCATTCTGATGTTCTTCCAGTTTTGGATGTTTGTTCATTGAAGCATGTGGCATATGTTTTTCAAGCCCTTATATACTGGATTAAAGCTATGAATCAGCAGACAACATTAGATACACCCCAGCTAGAACGCAAAAGGTATCTATACTTACCCTGGGGTTGGTTTAAGAAATACTTGTTTGGTGTGGTCTCTGTTAGTACATTATCAGAGTTTGGAGTAAGGAGAACAGCACTGTGAAAGAGATAGTACAGGAACATTTCTGGTGTTGAGAATGTGGGCTTAAGTCTGTCCATCCTTTTTCTGTCACTACTCCTCACTTAAAATGAGAAACTTAAGAATCCAGTTAAGCTTCATGCTTAAGATAGTTTGGCCTGATTATCATGTTTTCTCTTAGAGTTTGTGTAGGCACTAACTATTTCTTGGGTGATTAGCTTCTTGTTTCTGTCAGGCCCATTTTGTAATGTAGTATATTAGGCTGATCAGTACCATTTCCCAGAGTCTGAAACTGTATCACAGTGGTTGCAATTGGGTAGATACTTAAGTGACCTTTTCAGTGTTTTTATGCTTGTAGTTCCCTTCACTTTTGCTCCTACTTATATTATACAAATACTTCATGTAAAATTACTCACTTGTCTTTTTAAAGGACGCGAGAACTCTTGGAACTGGGTATTGATAATGAAGATTCAGAACATGAAAATGATGATGACACCAATCAAAGTTAGTGCACAGAAAATCTGCTAATCTACTTTAAGGAATGGCTGCCTCAGTATTTCCCCTTCAGGCTTTTTAACTTCATTATTTTCTGTCTGGGTGGGAATTTCTCTTTTCTTCTCTATGTCCCATTTCTTACCTTTTTTGTCCATTTTTCCATACACATCCTTACATTATATGTTTCATAATTAAGAGTGAATTAAAGAAATGCGATGAACTTTACAACAGTTGATATTTTTTCCTACTTTATCTTCTCTCCTTTGCATTTCTTAAGTTTTATGTTTACCTTTACTCTTAAGCGAAGTGTGTAGGTGTACCACATTTAAATAAAGTCTTAGCAAAACCTTTGTTAGTATTGATGCAAAATAGATTGTCAGGAAAATGAGAAATACCCATTATAATTCCCAAATATTAAAACTCTAACAGTTAATGCAATAAAAAGAGAGAAAATAATCCAAACTCTAGAATTTTCTCCAGAAATTTCAATACCACAACATTTTGGGAACTTCTGCATTCTGTACTTTTTGGTTATTATTTCCATTGGGGTTTAGAAATTTTTAAAGTGGGGTTAGTCTACTCTCCTGTTTATTATTAGATAGTACTTTTATTCAGCCTCGGGAAAGAAAACTGACTTAACTGCTGTTTTATGAGAACCCAGCCATAGCACATTGCTATTTTCATAGCACAGTAAGCACTGCTAAAGTTCTATTCCATTAAGAAGAGTTGGTGCTAGTGTGCTGACTTACTATTGGGATACATGAGTAGCCCAGACATTTTTTCTCTGTTTTTCTAACTAGAGGAGGTAGAACTTACAAGTAAACAAATGCTGCTCATATTGCAGCTCCTGATCATCTCCTTTTGGAGTCATCAGTGAGTTGGGTCCTGAATATGCTCAGGAATCTAGCCGTATTCTGGTTTGAATTTCTAGAGAGATAAAGAGGATATGGGAAACCTCTGTCCTATATTGAATGGAACGATATTTGTTACTGCTAATTTTGTTTTTGCGTTTTTTATTGTTGTAAGATACATATAACATAAAATTTACCAATGTAATCATACTAAACTGCTATATTTTGAATTTTTACTTTAAAAAATTTCACTAAAATTTTGAACTGTTAACTTGTTTTTAAGCGGCATTAAAATTTTATAAAGATATCAGGAATTTTGGGTTGAGCAGATTAATATTCTATTTACCCTTCCCCAATAATTAAATAATTTTCCTAAAACAAAACGTTTTATCTTTTTATGTTTAGGTGCTGCTTTGAATGATAAGGATGATGACTCTCTTCCTGCAGAAACTGGCCAAAACCATCCATTTTTCCGACGTTCAGACTCCATGACATTCCTTGGATGTATACCACCAAATCCATTTGAAGTGCCTCTGGCTGAAGCTATCCCCTTGGCTGATCAGCCACATCTGTTGCAGGTGAATTAAACACACAAGTTTTCTTTCTAGTTGATTTTAAGTGTTCAACATAACTAGAATATTTCTGTTAAAATTCCAGCCAAATGCCAGAAAGGAGGATCTTTTTGGCCGTCCAAGTCAGGGTCTTTATTCTTCATCTACCAATAGTGGGAAATGCTTAATGGAGGTTACGGTGGATAGAAACTGTCTTGAGGTAAGATAATAAAAGTTTTTGCAATATAATACTTGTTAATACTTGACACAGCACCCAGATTTTTGGAAATGCATTAATTCAGAATATTTTATTTCTGAAAATAATAGAAGTGTCAGAAATACCTGCTTTGTGACATTAATAGAAGGAATTCCAACACTTATATTTTGCTGTATCAGGTCACTTCATCCATGAAATAGCAGCTTCGTTATATGCTTTGTCTGTTTCACAGAGTTGATTGTTGTATGCTGCTAAAAATTTAAATATACATATAAAACATTTTGTATATAAAAGAATATATAATTTTTGGCTTAAAACTTCTTTGACTTACTGAAATAACTTGAATCAAGAATCATAAGATAATTTAAGTCATGTAGATAAATAAGGTAGCATTAATCATGATACTTAACAGTTTTGAATAATTCTATCTCCATGTTGCGTAGAAATATTATCCTGATTTTATGGGTAAGAAACTGAGGCTTGAAGAAATTAAATAATTTTCACTTGGACTGTCTGCATGTAGATAAATAAGGTAGCATTAATCATGATACTTAACAGTTTTGAATAATTCTATCTCCGTGTTGTGTAGAAATATTATCCTGATTTTATGGGTAAGAAACTGAGGCTTGAAGAAATTAAATAATTTTCACTTGGACTGTCTATTGTCACACAGCTAGTTAAATGGCAGATCTAGTGTTAAGATACAGAACTGAGAGCCTAAAATTATACTCTGTTGTTTCTACAATAAAAAATAGTAACATATTAAAAAGCAAGCACAGAAGAAATGTAGTAGAATAGAATTTTAAAAATTATTATGTAAGTGATAAATGGAGAATGAAATACTGAAAATATGAGGATACTTCAAAAAGTTTGTGGAAAAATAGAATTAAAATATGATATTTTCCATGAACTTTTTGAAGCACCATCATACTGAAAATGTGTAAGAGACAAAAGAGTCCTTTAGAAGTTCTCTGATGCTACTGTGGTAAATGCATTGGAATTGGTGATCAGCCAGGAGAATCACATAGATAAGAACAGGCTGCATCTTTACAACTGAAGCTCCAAAAAGGAAAAATTTATTACTTAACATCCATGCGATTTCTATATTATTAGGTCGAAAACAAAATCTAATTAGTTTTTTTCCTTAATGTGTAACTTTTAAATGTAAAAATTCATAGGTTCTTCCAACTAAAATGTCTTATGCTGCCAATCTGAAAAATGTAATGAATATGCAAAATCGGCAAAAAAAAGAAGGGGAAGAACAGAATGTGCTGCCAGAAGAAGCTGAGAGTTCAAAACCAGGGCCATCTGCTCATGATCTTGCTGCACAGTTGAAAAGTAGTTTACTAGCAGAAATAGGACTTACTGAAAGTGAAGGACCACCTCTTACATCTTTCAGGTATTTGCTAAGTGAATGTAGTTTTCCTTTTGCATTATTTTATTAAGAATTTTTATTTAGAAATTTTATAATTTAATTTTGTAAATAGAATTAAATGTTATTATTTTTATGATTTCCTAGTTTATCATCAGCTATTTAAATATTAAAGTTAATTAACTTAACATCCTTAAAGGTGTTTATTAAAGGTGAGTTTTCTGGATTTTGGGGGTTTCGTGACTATTTTGTCATTGGTTGACATTCTTTTCTCTTCACTTTATTGAGAAAGTTCTGAGACCTCAGTTTTTAATGTTCAGTACTGAGTTAAAGCATATATCCATGTCAAATTGTTACTTACAGACTTGTTACCAATAGCTAATCTAAGGGGAACATGTGAATAACTAGAGGGTAGAACTTTCTAGATTTGTGACTCACATTTAGCTTGGCTCCTTTGCCAGGTTTATAGATGGGAATTCTCTTGCAGGAGGTAAGTTCTTTGCTTACCCAATAAAAAGTTGCTAGTATTGTGACTCAGTGTGGGTATTCATCACGTGGTTTGTTGACCGTCTGCTTTATGTTCTGTATTTTTTGGTGACATGGTATCACATAATTTTTTGCTGCAAAGGCGTTAACAAGCTAGTTTCAGTAACAAGATACATTATATATACCTTGTCTAACAACCACATAAAGCAAGTGAGAATTGTGGACTGGGTTGGCTCAAGCTTCCTACAGGCAATATGGCTTGAGCTGAGATGGTTAGAATGTGTAGAAGCAGATTGGAGAATAGAATTATCGGTAGGAAGACCAGTTTAGAGAGCTGTTATTCATTCTGGCTAGTGGGGAAAAAAGGGTTGAGGTACAATATTGGCTTTGGGAAATAGAAAGGAAATCATGGAAAGAAAGAGAAACTAAAGAAGGACTTGATCACTCTGGAGGAACAGGGGAAAGAAAAATTAAAATTTGCTTCAAGTCTGTGCAATAGGGAAATAGATGGCGCTACTGAAAAAATTAGGAGGAAGTGTCACTGTGGTGAAGAGGTGAAGTTTTAGGGGCCGGCCCGGTGGCGCACTGGAGAGTGTGCCGCTTGGGAGTGCAGCGGCGCTCCCGCCGAGGGTTCGGATCCCATGTGGAGACCGGTTCCCGCTCACTGGCTGAGCGCGGTGTGGGCGCAACACCGAGGGTTGCGATCCCGTTGCCGGTCAGTAAAAAAGACAAAAAAAGAAAAAAGAAAAAAAAAAAAGAGGTGAAGTTTTAGCCACGTTGAGTCTGAATTGAACATCGTTGACATGGATATATTGACAAGTGGAAATTCTGGTTTATTGTGAAAGTTTGAACCAGAGGGGGATATGGGAATCACTTAGATGGAGGACTTGAATGAGAGGAGGTAAAGTAAAAAGGTGAAAATAAGAAGCAGACTGGATGTATCCATATATAGAGGACAGAAGGGATAAGAGAGTAAAAATGAGTTCTGTGAGGAACAAGTAGCCATGAAAAAATTATTAAGAGAGGATGTGGTTTGAAGAACTTAAGACCTGAGAATAATAAAAGACCAAGTAAATTATTTCATTGAGCAATGAATTTTTGGAATTGGCTAAAAATTATTTTCCCACTTCCCCTTAAACTTTTTACAGGCCACAGTGTAGCTTCATGGGAATGGTTATTTCCCATGATATGTTGCTGGGACGTTGGCGCCTTTCTTTAGAACTGTTTGGCAGGGTGTTCATGGAAGATGTTGGAGCAGAACCTGGATCAGTATGTATTTTGTGCACTTTAAATTCTGTTCTGCCTAATAAGAACAAATTTCAGAAAATAATTCTGTCATGCATTTTTTTTAAAGATCCTAACCGAATTGGGTGGTTTTGAGGTAAAAGAATCAAAATTCCGTAGAGAAATGGAAAAACTGAGAAATCAGCAGTCAAGAGATTTATCACTAGAGGTAAAGGTATTTAGATTTTCTTATACTATACATATAATATTCCATTTATATAAATTTTAAAACATGCAAATAACAATAGATCTTGCTGAGGGATACGTACTTTAATTAAAAATTAAAAGAAAAGAAAGAAAGAAATGTTAATCACCAAATTTAGAATAGTGGTTTCCTGGTTCCTCTAAAACCAAAGAGTTTTAGTTTAGTTTTTTTTTTTTTTTTTTAAGTATCATTATGCTCTCGTGGATTTAAATGTTTTTGATGTGTTTCATTAGATTGAGATTATTCTTATTGCTGCTCAAATAGTCTCTTCTTTGGCTATTGGGAGTCCTGAGTTGTTTTTGGCTTCTGAGTCCTTTTAACACGACCCCAATAATCTAACAACTTCCTTACTTTTCTGGTATGTCTCATATTGTGCATTTTCTGTCACAGACCCCAAGTCAGCCATTTTCTTCAGGAAGCCCTGATTCTTTTTTAGTAGAAAATTGTATTTTGAGATTACAATCTGGGCTTCTATGGCTGCACATTGCTACTGGGTTGGTCATTGTTTCTAGGCCTTTTTAATGGATAGAATTAGGAAATGCACTTAAAAAAAATTTTCTATTACAGTAAAATACATAAGATTTGCCTGTTTAACCATTTTTAAACATACACGAATTCATACTGATACTCCCAATTCATATCAAGATTTAGGACCATAACGTTGTTTTGTTTGTTATTTTCATCTCTTAAGTCTTAAGTATTTATTCTCCTTTCTTCCAAACTGAATATCCAGCAATATTGTTTTTATCCCACAGCACATACACAGCAATTTTAGCATGACAACAGCAACACTACTACCAACAACAGTTATTGAAAATAGCTTCAAATTAATTTGCAATTTTTTGTTCTTAGATCACATCCAGTTAGAGGTGTGAAATCATATTACTTTGTTTAAAAGTCACTTGAAGTAATTCCTCTTTGTGTGGTTTTGCTACCAGCTCTGTACAGTTAGGGTGTTTTGTTTTATTGTGCTTTCAGTTTTTCGGGATTGCTTTCTCCTCTTGTGGTTTGGTTTTGTTTCATAATTAATGTAAAACTTTACAGAAGGTATATTCAGGGAAGTCTAGTTGCCATTTTTGTGGCTTTCACCATTTTTTAAAGTTTACCCTCTCTCCTTTAAAAATATAAGTACATGTGTGTACTTTATATAGAGAGAGATGTTCCACCTTCCTTTTACAGCTGCTTAGTGTACTGTATTTTATGGTTGTTACCACAGTTTTTTCAGCCAGTCTCTATTGACTAGACATTTGAGGTATATATCCATTCTTTTGCTGTTACAGATGGTAGTGTCGTGAATGAATAGCTTCGTGTGTGTTTCTCTATTTTGCTAATGTGTCTTTGAGATAGATTCTCACACTTGTTATTACTGGATCAAAGGGCATGTGCATATATAATTTTGTCCAATATTGGCAAATACTTCTGCACAGTGGTTGTATATTTTTTGCATTTTCACCATCAATACGAGAATGACTGATTCCCCACAGTCTTACTAGCTTTTTGTTGTCAAATTTTTAGATTTTTGCTAATCTGATAGGTAAGAAATAGCATCTCAGTATAGTTTAAATTTGACTTTCTCATATATTTAGTATCATTTCCTTTCTGTAACTTTATTGATTTATTTTGTCCATTTTTCCTATTAAGTTGTTGGTTTTTCCTCAAATTTTAGAAGCTCTTTATGTATCTTTAGGTGATATATACACTCATCTTTGTCAGTGATAGAAGATACAAATATTTTTCCCAGTTTTTTTTTAAACTTAGCTTGTGGTATTCTGTCACCAAGGAATTCCATCCGTGTTTTCTTCTAGTATTTGCTTTTTTTAAAAAAAATTTACATCTCTTAACCATTTGAGATTTGTTCTGGTGTATCCCCAAATTGAACAAATTATTGTTTTCCTGTAGACTTTGAAAAGAGTTAGAATTGTACTGATTTAACACAAGACATTCTTGTATGCTTTAGAATGTTATATATTTGGAATGTATAAACTTCTGGGAACCCAAATTACTTTGTAGTTCTTTAAATATCAAGGAAAAGCTAAAATTAGATTTTCAGATTTTATATAAAAATTCAAGGTAGTTTCCAACATCGCATTTACCACTTTTTGGTGTGTTTTAATAGGTTGATCGAGATCGAGATCTTCTCATTCAGCAGACTATGAGGCAGCTTAACAATCACTTTGGTCGAAGATGTGCTACTACACCAATGGCTGTACACAGAGTAAAAGTCACATTTAAGGATGAGCCAGGAGAGGGCAGTGGTGTAGCACGAAGTTTTTATACAGCCATTGCACAGGCATTTTTGTCAAATGAAAAATTGCCAAATCTAGATTGTATCCAAAATGCCAACAAAGGTACCCACACAAGTAAGTACGCTACAGATAACAAGGATCATAAAAATTCTTAACTTGTTATCAAAACAGTGATATAATCATGGTTATATGTATTTATATATAAATGTACATTTACATTTTTATGTAACTTATATTCTAGATTAATGATTTAATCTTGTTTAAACTATTCTGATTAACAATTTAACAATTGTTCTTTTACTGCCACTTTTTTTTTTTTTTTTTTTTTTTTTTTTTTTTTTTTAGACCCCCGCCCT